TTGTTGCCCTGTTGCCGCCATACCTGGCCCCTGGTTGTGTGCCATCCCGTGTCTTCAGTTGCCAAACCCCCCTTGGGTGGCGGTGGTACTCGCAGCCACGTGCATCCCAGCCGACTGCCCCGGTGCTGTCACTTCTGCTTTTGCTGTTGTCCCTGAGGCTGCCCTAGTTCTCCCACCACAGTCCCCGGCTGCCTCCCTTGCACGTGGCGCTGTGTATTAGTCAAGGTCCTGATGCCAGCAGCACGAGCCGGATTTGGCAATCGGGCAGAAACAGAATTCACTAGGGACTTAGACAATCAGCAGGAGGTCGGAGAAACAAATCTTAAGAAACAAGAGCCAAGGAAGGAACCCCGGATCCCCAGCGAAAGCCCCCCGACAGGAAGGTCCTGCCACCATCCCTGGCACCGCAAGGGCCTCTGTAACCGTACGTGTTCCGTGACCCTCACGCAGAGCCCTGGAACAGGACATTCGGCTGCTGAGCCCACACCCTGTGCCTGCCCCAGCTGTGCTTCTGCCACAGGGCCGTGGGGAGATCTCTGGCCAACCACGCATGAGAGATGGTAGTAATAGCAGTGGCTATGATGGAGATGTGAGATTGAAACCGAGTAACCGTCTCGGTAACCAGGCCACGGACGCCAGGACTTGAGCCCCGGCAGTCTGGTTCCTGCATGGATGCTGTGCTGCTCTCCTAGTCAGGATTCCCCATCAGGAAGATGGGGGTGCATTTAGGAAGAGGGAGATCATAGCCGACAACTGAAAAGGGACCCACAGGCACCAGCCCCTGAATCCCAGGGAGGTTGTGGATGCTCTTCTGACCACCACAGGGAGACTCGGCTGCACCTGCTCAGAGAAGCAGCTTGTGCAGGGAGACCAGGGCCTGCAAGAACATCTGTGTGTGTTCACAGAAGGCGGCAAAATGGGTCGAGAGTTTCTTTCTTTTTTTAAAAAAAGATTTTATTTATTTATTTGACAGGTAGAGTTACAGACAGAGAGACAGAGAGAAAGGTCTAACCCTCCCTCCGCACCCTGCCCAGGCTGACCTGCTGGGGTCTGGTGTCCACCAGGGTGTCCTGCTGGGCTCGGGTCCTCATGGCAAACACCCCTGCCATCCTGGAACTGACGTTTAGTGGTGGAGACAGTAAACAGAAAATGAACAAAATAATTTTCATTTTCTCAAAGCTGTAGCACCCCTGGTCACCAAAGGAGGTAAACCAGCAGCCCCTGACCAAATCCAGCCGGCAGGCTTGTTAGGGGTGCGTCCAAAAATTCATGGAGGAGCAGGCATTGTGAGTGCAAGAGGATACGCCACCGCTCGGGGTGGCCACACTGCATACTGGAGTGCCTGATGGTGTTCTGACTACTCGGTGCTTCCGATAATATACTTGGGAGGGGGTGAATGAACACGCAGGTGACTCCCGTGGAGTCCGGGTTTGGCCTGGCCCAGCCCCAGCTGTTGCAGGCATTTGAGGGAGTGACCCAGTGGATGGAAGATCTCTATCCCCTCCTCTCCCTTGCCCTCTCTCACTCAGCCTTTCAAATAAATAAATAAATCGTTTTAAAAATAATTCATAGAGGGGCCAGCGCCATGGCTCACTTGGTTAATCCTCCGCCTGAGGTGCCGGCATCCCATATGGGCGCCGGTTCTAGTCCCAGTTGCTCCTCTTCCCATCCAGCTCTCTGCTATGGCCTGGGAAAGCAGTAGAAGAAGGCCCAAGTCCTTGGGCCCCTGCACCCACTTGGGAGACCCAGAAGAAGCTCCTGGCTCCTGGCTTCGGATTGGTGCAGCTCCGGCCATTGCAGCCATCTGGGGAGTGAACCAGTGAATGGAAGACCTCTCTCACTGTCTGTAACTCTACCTCTCAAATAAATAAATAAATAAATCTTTAAAAAAAAAAAAAAAAGAGCAGCCAGGACATGAACCAGTGCTAATAAAGGATGTGGGTGTCACAGGTAGTGGCTTAATCCACTGTGTCTGTGTCACCATGCCAGCCCCTTTTCTGTGAATTTTTCCAAGATCCCTTGCATTTTGTGGGCCCTCATTCGTTGCAATTGCTTGTAAAGTATTTGATTATTGAGTTTCTAAAATTTCTTTTGTTTGAGACACAGAGACTAACAGAGCTCCCATCTTCCGGTTCACTCTCAATGCCTGCAACGGCTGCAAGCAGGCCAGCTGGAGTCAGAAGCTAGGGACTCGGTCCAGGTCTCCCACATGGGTGGCAGGGACCTAACCAGCTGAGCCATCACCTGCAGCCTCCCGGGGTGTGAGTAGCAGGAAGCCAGAACCAGGAGCCAGGGCTGGGAATCAGACCTGGGTCTGTGGTGTGGGAGGCAGGCATCTTCCAGCTGGGCAGATGCCTGAGGAGAGATGCATGCAAATGGTTCACAAGGTAACCGGTGAAATTCAGTGAAAAGCGAGGCTGTCCCCTCCCCTTGCACACATTTAGATACTGAGGATACAACATAGCTCATTTTGTTACGGGCGGGGGGGGGGGGGCTGGTAAGCGCTGAGGAGGAACGTGGGGCGGGGAAGGGCATGGGAGCATGAAGTGGGAAGGCAGACACACACACACACACACACACACACACACACACACAGGCGGCCAGGGTCCCCAGTTTCTTCAAAGTCCTGGAGAACTTCTCTGCCTGGTTGGTGGTTGTTGTCACTGCTGTTTTGCTTTTCAAACAGGAGGAATTGCCCACAACTCTAGGTATCTGGCTTCTCTTGAGAAATCAAATGATCTGGCAAACACACATTGCTGCAAGGCTGAGTTGGCAGGAGCAGGGCCCTGCTTGTCTCTTCAGAAGAGGCACCTGCCGTCCGGTTCACTGCAGACTGCCCCAGCCTCTCGCCTGTCTCCCTGACGCAGCCCAGCTCTCTGGCCCTCCCAGACTCTCCCCCTGTGTGCCTCCTCCCTCTGCCATCTACAGAAATAATTGTCGCTGTGGTCACGGGGCCCCAGAACAGCCACGCCCCGCTCCCCTGGCTTCCCATTTGCTCTCACTTTTTCCTAGACTTGCTGGTTGTTAAGCTTCCCCCTCCGTCTTGTGCTGCCAGTTCCACTCTGTGCCTCTGGGCACAAGTTGTGCAGTGACCCCTACACACACACACACACACACACACACACACACACGACCCTCCACTTCCCTGCATGGGAAGTACTAGTAGTCACCATCCACAATGGCCATGGCCAGCTCTAGGTTAAGGGAAAGAAAAGTTATTGGACACCTTGAGCCAGGTGCCTAGCACTCTCCTGCCTGAACAAAATCAGTTCTGTTGGCAGGAAGGAGGACACGGCGGCCCACTTTCCCCTTCCTCTCTAGCAGGGGGTTTCATCTTCCAGACGCTGAAGGCAGAGACAAAGCCCAGTGTTTCACACTGCAGGACAGAGCGTGAACTCCTTCCCTGGAGACCTGTGACTCAGGGTGCACTGATCCCTGAGATTGTGCTGAGGCCGTCTTTTGCTCACTCAGACAGCAAGCAGTGGACAGTGTAGATGTCCCTACCCTCTGGAGCTGACATTTTAGCAGTGGGGCAGTCACTGAGTGGATAATAAGTAGTTGAATGCTGACATCAGCTAAGAAAAATAGAGGGGCGGGTGCTGTGGCACAGCTGGTTAAGCCACTGCCCTATAGTGCCGGCATCCCATATGGGCACCAGTCCAAGTGCTAGCTGCTCCACTTCCAATTCAACTCCCTGCTAATGCACCTGGGAAAGCAGCAGGATGGCCCAAATCCCTGATCCCCTGCTGCCCACGTGGGAGACCCAAAAGAAGCCCCTGGCTTCAGCCTGGCCCAGCTCTGGTTGTTGTAGCCATTTGGGGGGTGAACCAGTGAATGGAAGATCTCGCTCGCTCTCTCTCTCTAACTCAGCCTTTCAAATAAATAATCTTTTAAAAAATAGAGTGGTTAAAAGAGGTTTTTACAAGACAAGTACACTGTATGCACGGGGGCTTGGGAAAAGTTGACATCATGGGAAGGAACCACCTGGAAAGATATCCAGATATCCTGGGTCAGGCTTGTAGGTCGGGGGAACAGAAGAGAAGGCTTGTTAGATCAGAGTTCAGTCAGGGGTGCAGAGAGAAGTCAAGGAACCTGGCAGGGGCGGATCCTGTGGGCTCCTAGCGAGGGCTGAAGTTGGGGTTTTATTCTAACAGGCTAAGGAGTCACTGGGGAGAACTCAGCGAAGACATGGCAGGATCTGCTCCTAGCATCTGAGTTGTGCAGGTGTCTGGAGATGTCCCCTCTGTGCCCCCCTTCCAGTGCCCCAGTGCTCACTATGACTCATGCCTCACGCTCACTTCCTTTCTGGGGAGTAGCTGGGCAGGGTGGCCTGCAGGACAGCTGCACAGTCGTCTGGCCTCCGTGTGCAGCCGCCAGTTCACAGGAAATACAGGGGTCAGGAGAGCAAGTTCAGGGGTACCTCAGGGACCCCGAAACTGGGGACCTCCCCATGACACCTGACCCCATGCCCCCAACAATAAATACTGTGAAAATTAAGGGAGGGTGGCCATTACAGGGAAAAGACCTGCCCGAGGGCGGGATCGTCCACTTTGGATGCCGAGTTGAGCAGACCAGCTGCTGTTGAGATAGTGAGATAGTGGGCAGCTGTGTGGTAGGCAGGGCATTGCGTGTTCCCTTAGCTGGGTGTGGTAATAGTATCACGGTTATTTTATTAGACACCTTCTCTGCTAGAGATACAAGCTATAGTATTCACAGGTACAATCACCTGAGGTCTGGGATTTACTCTTAAAAAAAAACACTCTGTCAAAAACAAAAGTGCAGGCTGGGTGAAGACAGATAGGAGAGGCAGAGCCACTGGTCAGGGAGCCAGCAGGGTGGCTCTGAGACCTCTCTCTGCTGTTCAGTATATTTGAAAATTTCCATAATTAAAAGTACTTTGAAATGAGTAAAGCCGTCCCCCCAAAATAAAGCCACGTTTCTCATGCTCTGGGAATAATGACATCTGCCACATCTCACTTTTCCCTTTTCTTCCTCTGCAGCATGGCTGGGAAGACACCCTTGCTGCCTGCTCTGCCCTGCTGAGCCGCTGTGTCCCGAGCCCCCAGGACAGCCCCTGCCTCCTGAGGTTGTCCTGGCTCAGCTGTCCACAGCGATGGTGGAGAACTGGACTGCACAGGCTCACAACCTTCGCGTCTGGTTTCAGGGGCCAGCATCCTTCATCCTGGGCCTGGCGGCCCTGAACAATGGCTGAGGGCCAGGGGACCCCCTAGAGCTACACCTCAGCTTCCAGGGCCCAGCAGCACTCCAGTGCCCGTGGACTATGACCACTTATCGGCCCCTTCCCAGTGATGGCGTGGACCTGGCAGCCAGCTGTGGGGCCAGAGCCGCTGACGTCCTGCCTGGGCCGCACACGGGGGACTACACGCCCATGGGATTCTGGGCCCAAAATGGCAGCATGTCCCAGCCCCTTGGTGAGAACCCAGCCACCTCTACCACCCGCCCCAGCCCCACCACCCCTGCGATGCCCAAGATGGGCGTGCGTGCAAGAGTGGCCGACTGGCCGCCCAAGCGGGAGGCCCTAAGAGAGCAGAACAACCCGAGCCCCTCCCAGGATACAGATGGCGTGAAGGCCACCAAGGTGGCCCATTCCATGAGGAGCGTACAGAACGGGCAGCCTCCCGCCAGCACCCCGGCTTCCTCAGGGTCCAGAGCCTTCCACCGGCTCTCCAGGAGAAGGTCCAAAGATGTGGAATTCCAGGACGGGTGGCCGCGGTCCCCCGGCAGGGCCTTCCTCCCCCTGCGGCACCGCAGCAGCAGCGAGATCACCCTTAGCGAGTGCGACGTGGAGGACGTGGGGGAGCCGCGGGGCCCCAGGCACACGGGCGCATTGCCCCTCTTCCGCGAGTATGGCAGCACCTCGTCCATCGACGTGCAGGGCGTGCCGGAGCAGAGCTTCTTTGACATTCTGAATGAGTTCCGCAACGAGCAGCCCGAGGCCCGCGGCTCCCAGACGCTCACCGAGCTCCTCCGGGCAGATCCCGGCTCACATCTGGTGGGGGGCGGCTGTGGAGCCAAGGGGGACGCCCGCAACGGGCAGCCCAGCAAGGACAGTCTCCTCCCACTGCAGCCCATGAAGGAGAAGGAGAAGGCCCGGAAGAAACCTGCGCGGGGCCTGGGCGGCGGGGACACGGTGGACTCGTCCATCTTCCGCAAGCTGCGGAGCAGCAAGCCGGAAGGCGAGGCGGGCCGGTCCCCGGGGGAGGCGGAGGAGGGACGCAGCCCCCCGGAGGCCAGTCGGCCCTGGGTGTGCCAGAAGAGCTTTGCCCACTTCGACGTGCAGAGCATGCTGTTCGACCTCAACGAGGCGGCCGCCAACAGGGTGGCGGTGGCGCAGCGGCGCAACACCACGACGGGCGCCTCCGCCGCGTCGGCTGCTTCGGCCATGGCCTCCCTCACGGCGTCGCGGGCCCACAGCCTGGGCGGCCTGGACCCCGCCTTCACCAGCACAGAGGACCTGAACTGCAAGGAGAACCTGGAGCAGGACCTGGGCGATGACAACAGCAACGAACTGCTGCTTAGCTGCCCGCACTTCCGCAACGAGATCGGCGGCGAGTGCGAGCGCAACGTGAGCTTCTCCCGGGCCTCTGTGGGCTCCCCGGGTGGCAGTGAGGGCCCCCTGACGGAGCCCAGCCTGAGCTCCTACCGCACCAACGCCAGCATCTCGGTGCTGGAGGTGCCCAAGGAGCAGCAGAGAACGCAGAGTCGACCCCGGCAGTACAGCATCGAGCACGTGGACCTGGGTGCCCGCTACTACCAGGACTACTTCGTGGGCAAAGGTGACAGGGTGGGGACAGGGGTGGGCTGTGGCTTGTCTCCGAGACCCTCACCGCGCCGTCTTTGGCTCTCTGCTAGGCCTGCTCCTCACTGAGGACTCGGCAGGAATCAGACCTGGAGGGCTAGAAGGAGGCAGACTGGAACTGCACCCAGCCCTGAGTCCTGTGTCCAAGCCTGGCTAACGCCTCGTCCGCTAAGGCCCCAGTAGAGAGGCAGTTGCCCAGCAAGCAGGGGCTTGGTGTCACTGTGCCAGGGATACGGTACTGACCAGCTTCAAACAGCAGTTCCGCCTTCCTAGACTTAACGTCACAGCAGCCGGCTAAGGCACAATGAGGTGCCCCAGGAGGCTACATGCCAGGGAAGAGAGACCCAGAGGGTGAGCTGGGGCCTGCAGCGTTCAGTAGGGACAGTGGGGGCCGGCTTCCTCAGCCGATGCCATCTGAGTACTGAGTGGGAGGAGTTGAGGGAGGAAGCCACGTGCAGACTGGGGACAGTGTTCCTGGCACAGGCACCAGCAGGCCTGAAACATTAGAGGAAGAGGGCACTGTGGCCCACTGAGGGAGAGATGACAAGGTCAGAGCCTGGGGCACTTCGGGCCCACGCTGAGGACTCTCTTTTTCCCCTGAGTAAGATGTGAGCAGCGGAGGAACCTGGCCTGGTTCCAGGGTTCACAGCTTCCCTCTGGCTGCGTGTGGGGAGCAGGGAGACCTGGGAGGAGGCTGCCGTGACGGCCCAGGCAGGAGGTGAGGGACAGGTCCAGGGCGGGAGCCTAGCAGTAGGAAAGGATCTTTCAGGCAGCTTCTGGATCCATTTTAAAGACAGGGCTGTCCTTGTGTGGAGGGCATTGACACTGAGGAGAGATGAGCTCCATGTATCCTGCGGCTCCCTGCTCCTGGTGGGCAGTCCCGAGAGGCAGCATGGCCTAGTGCAGAGACCCCAGACCTGGGCATCCATGGGGCCAGGCAGCAAATGGACAGAAGTGAAGCCTGCCAGACAGGGTCTAGGCAGCTCCTGCTCAGCTCTAGCTCACTGTGTCATGTGTAAAAGCAGACAAACCCCGTATTGCCGGCCTTTCTCACTTTGCAAGACGCTCTTAAACGTCATATATTTTTATTTTATGTGGCCTCCCCTGGTTTTAAACGCTAGTAGCTGTGTCATTTCAGACTTGCTAGTGACAGGCCTACACAACATAGAAACATCTCTCATCTACAAAGAAGCCTCAAGGTCGGCAGCCCAGGGCCAGTGTGGTTACTGGTCAGCATCAGCAGAATGCCAGTCCTCAGGGTGGTTCCTCTGGGCCAAAAAGGCTGCTAGAGCATCAGCCATCACATCCACATTTCCAGGCAGAGAAAGAGCAGGAAGGGTAGGGATGAAAGGCACCTCTTGTCAAGACAGCTCCCTTCACAGATGCCCCACCCAAGCACTTGTGCTTGCCAGCCATTCCCATATACAGGGAAGCTGGAGAAAGTAGATTATAAGTAGGCAGCTAGTACTCCACAGCAAGTAAGTTTCTAGAAATTTTAGTAAGCAGTGTCCTAGTCAAGAATCATAAATATCACCCACGTCATCCCGCTGAGCCCACACTTGGAGTCGGACAGCCCAGGGCGTGCGGTGCCTGTTCCATGGCTTATTAGATGGTGGCCGTCCTCATGTGAGCGCCACAGGTGACTATGGGAGCAGCACAAGCCCACAGGAAAATGACCAAGAGGTTGAAAATTAAGGGATAGGCCGGCGCCGCGGCTCACTAGGCTAATCCTCCGCCTTGCGGCGCCGGCACACCGGGTTCTAGTCCCGGTCGGGGCGCCGGATTCTGTCCCGGTTGCCCCTCTTCCAGGCCAGCTCTCTGCTGTGGCCAGGGAGTGCAGTGGAGGATGGCCCAAGTGCTTGGGCCCTGCACCCCATGGGAGACCAGGAGAAGCACCTGGCTCCTGCCATCGGATCAGCGCGGTGCGCCAGCCGCAGCACGCCGGCCGCGGCGGCCATTGGAGGGTGAACCAACGGCAAAAGGAAGACCTTTCTCTCTGTCTCTCTCTCTCTCACTGTCCACTCTGCCTGTCAAAAAAAAAGAAAATTAAGGGATGAGAAAAGCAGTTCCAGGCAGTCGCTAACCAGGAGAAAGGCACGTGAAATAGGCCTCAAGGCTAAAAGCACTTGTTGGAGGAGAGGAGAAGGCCATGTTATGTTGAATTTTAAAAACCCACCAAGAAGCTCTGACAGTCGTGGGCCTTTGTGTGCCTGGAAAGCTGGTTTAGGGCCCAGAAATAAAAATGGAGACGGCTGCGGGGAGAAGGGGACAATGCGCGATCCTAGCAGTGAGCGAAGCAGACAAGGCTCCCTCTCTGAAACGGGCAGGTCTCGTAGCCAGCACGCGTGGATAGAGCAGATTTTGGTAATCTAATCAAAGCTGGATAGTACACTTAGATAGATTAACCTTGTGCCTAGCCCATAGAAAACACGCTCTTTTCAGCCCACACATGAAATACAGAAAAGGAATGTGGATCAAGTAAGGATCAAGTCAGATTATACCTTAGAGTACTTAGTTCTTTGTTGAACAGGTACTGAGTACTCAGCATGGAGGTTTGAAAACTGCCATTTTCTTTCTAAAATGGATTTCTGTGTAGCCCTGGAAGCTCATTAGTCAGCCCGTGATCAGTGTTCACTGAGGGCCTGCCATCTGCCGGCACTCCCACAGTGCTGGGTGCGCACCAGGAGCAGCACAGCCACCCTGTCGGTGCTGCAGAACAAGCTGGCATCCGAGGACTACAGTATTAGTCTGTCCTCCGCCAGCTGGGGAGATTGTTGGAACCTCTGCAGATGCTGTTCTGATGGGGGCTGTGAACCAGGCCACAGCATTTTGACCTTAGATGAGTCTTTGATTGACGAGAGTGTCTGAGAACAGGAGCCATCAGTTGAATGTTCGGAGCACTAGGGTGGGGAGGTGAGGTGGGAGGTGAGGTGGCTGCTTGCAGCACCCTTGCGTCCCTGGCGCTGGGTACTACTACCTTGTGGACTTGGCTCAGGCCAGACTGCTGATGGCTTCCCAGCACAGGCAGGAGATACTCACAATTACACAGAGGGGCAAGCCTGCCCCAGCCCCATTTTACTGCTCAGAATGCTGGCAGCTGCTTGACCAGGGCCATGCCTCTGAGGAGGGCCAGAACCCTGCTGTGAGCCTCCCAGAGGCAGAATCTTAACCATTGTACAGGAACTCTCTGGCAGCTAAGTCAGGCAGTGCAAACCTGGGCTTAATCTCAGCGGTGCTGGGTGTACTGCATGCCATGCACAGTACTGGGCATTTTATAGTTGTAGTTTTACCTCACCCTCACGTCGTCTCTCCGAACTGTGGGTTGCACCAAGGCCCCCATTTATCGGATAAGAGCGCTGAGTGTCAGAAAGTTCTGTGTTTTGGTAGAGATGGTACGGTATTGGAACTTTCACTTTCTGCAGTTTCTCCATTGAGTATGGCTGTGGCCAGGCATGAGGTTGGGTGGCAGGGATGCCCCTGTCAGCCCATCCGCTGGCCTGCCGTGGGCCCTGACTGCACTCGCCTGCTCTTCCTTTGCAGAGCATGCCAATTACTTTGGTGTGGATGAGAAGCTGGGGCCCGTGGCCGTGAGCATCAAGCGGGAGAAGCTGGAAGACCACAAAGATCACGGACCTCAGTACCAGTACAGGATCATCTTCCGGACCCGCGAGGTCAGTCCCACCCCTGTCATTTCTACAACATAGATGATAGTGAGCTGCTCTCCCTCACGCGCCCTTCCTCTGTGCCGTATTCTGCTTCGTTCCGTGTGACCCTCCCTGCAGCTTTGGGAGAGTGTTCCTGTTAGTCTCCCATTTTGTGGAAGAGGAAACTAAGACCCAGAGATTGAATGACTTGCATAGGATCAGAGAATAAGCGGCCAAGCTGGGGTTTGAATCCAGTCTACCTGACTTTGAAGCCCAAGATTGCAAAATCTATTTGCAAGAGATTAGCTGTAGTTAGCATAAGGAGCAAAGGGGGAGGGAAGAGATCATTTCAGGATTATGGGGTGTCCTACGTAATGGAAAGAAGAATGAAGACAACAGCCTCAGGCCTGGCAGGAACTGGGGCGTCCCAACAGGCTGTGCTGTTAGGCTGATCAAGACTTTCCGTTCTGGGGAGAGAAGCCCTTTGTCACACGTGGCCAGAGCTTTCCCCTGGATTAAATGTCAGCTGTGACTAGGGAAGGAGGCCTATTGGGGACATCCTTGCTCTGATAGGACTCTACGTTATTGTAAGTGACAGAAATCTCTGTTAGTGGCTTAAGCCAGAAAGAGAATTCAGTGGCTCGTGTAACTGCAAGTGCAGGGCTAGCTTCAGGCGTGGCTGCACTCATCCAGTGAGGTCAGCAGAATGCTGCCTCCTTGTCTCTCTGCTCTGCTGGGCTGTGTTTCTTTCTGCATTGTGAATATGCCATTCTCTTCTGCCGCTCTAAAGCTCTTCTCCCTCCCTCTGTGTCCCGGGAAGATGGGCTCTGGCTGCACAGATCGTCTACGTCTCTATACCTGCTCGTTGCAAAGGAACACACTCTTACCTGCGGAATCCCCGAGAAGAGCTCGGACTGGCAGCGCTTGCATCCCAAGCCCCGCACCCCGGGCCAGTCGCTGACAGGGGTGATGGGGAAGCTGGCCAGATCTAGGACGCGGCTCCACCCTGGTCCAGGGGCAGGGCAGGGAGCCACCTGGAGGAGGAGGGAGGGCAGTTAGTTCCTCAGCAGAAAGAGGGGAGCTAGGCAAGCAGAAATTTCCAGATGACCCAAGTAAATCTGCCCAAAAAATTTCCAAAAGGCTTTCCAGAAAAGGGACCATCGGTAGCCAGGCAGGCCCCTCTGAAGTGGGTCTCCCACAGTGCAGCAGTCCCCCAGCCCCCATGGGCCTGAAAACGCAGCAGGCTGCTGCTGCCCAGGACGTTGGATTTGGGGCCAGCCGCATTCTGGACCTCATCCAGACTGGCAGATGCTGCACGAGGGCCCTCACCCCGTCCCCCGACGAAGACCTTCCCACCGAGGGGGACTGGGATGGCAGGGAGGCTTGGTGGCAGTGGAGGAGAGGGTGCTCCCGAACCACAGGTGGTCGCTGGCCTCTGCCTCCCTAGCCCCTGCCTGCCTCTGCTCACCTTTCTGGGCAGATGAGCACCAGGGCAGGATGTGAGGTGACAGCGCCCATCCCATCAGACTATTGCAGGACACCCGGGCAACTGCTGGGTGGGACGACAGCCACAGTCATATACCAACAAGCAGTAATTATTACAGTTCGTTACTAGGGCGACTCCGCTTCATGCTGTGTGTTAGGCATGGTTCTATGTCCTTCGTGTGTGTTAACCACTTAAATCTTATCACAGCTCGGCGACAAAGGCTCTGTGTCCTCATTTAGGACAAAATGGGCACAGAAAGGTTAGGGACTTGCCCACTGTACCCTCCCGTGTGGCAGAGCCGGTGGCTGCCTGTGCTCCAGCTGCCACACACAGCTGTCTCTGGGCGACGACTGACTCAGCTCGCACTGCACTTGGGGCCCATGCATGAGTTAGGAGCTCAACTAAGGCCAGCATTGTTGTTTTTCGGCAATTGGAATGTGCTGAGTGAATTTTTAAAGTACCAGACCGTGTCACAGGTGCTGAGGGTCAGGGGCTTTAGTGCCTGGATCCTGGGTCAGGGCATGATTGTCTTGATGTGGTCCCTGCTCAGTCAGTTTAAAATGGACTCAATGCCATTCCCAGTGTATGACTACTTGCATCCACTTTTTTTTAAAGATTCTATTATTTAAGAAGTAGAGTTACAGACAGAGAAAGAGACAGAAAAAATTTTCTATCCTCTGGTTTACTCCCAAAATGGCCATAATGGCCAGAACTGGGCCTATCCAAAGCCAGGAGCCAGGAGCTTCTTCCAGGTCTCCTATGTGGGTGCAGGGGCCCACGTACTTGGGCCATCTTCTACTGCTTTCCCAGGCTATAAGCAGAGAGCTGGATTGGAAGAGAAGCAGCCAGGACACAAACTGGTGCCCATGTGGGATGCTGGCAGTGCAGGTGGAGGCTTAGCCTACAACACCACAGTGCCCGCCCCTACTTACATCCACTTTGTACCCCAGTACCCACAAAAGAAGCCTCTGGGGACTCCAGTCCACCCGGGCCAGGTACAAGACTCAAATCTCACAGTCAGGGTCTGGGGTTCATCCATTTTACAGGTCCACCATCTGCCAGCCCTGTTGGGCACAGAGGGTGCAGGAGTGGACTACATTCTCATGGGGGAGACAGACAGGACACAAGGCACTGTAGGAAATCAGACAGCATGGCCCACAATGGCAAGACAGCAAACAGAGCAGGGAAGGTTGGGGGGAGGTCAGGATGATCGAGAGAGGCATTACTGAGAAGATGACATTTGGGTAAGGACTTAAAGGAGGGAGAGAGGGAGAATAGCATTCAGGCAGCGGGACCACCCAGTGCCAAGGTCTTGTGGCAGAGCCATGCCTAATATGCAGAGACCTGGTATGAGTCCTAGTTCTGCCGCTCAGCAGCTCTGACGCCTTGGGCACGTGACTTCCCCACTCGAAGCCTCCATTTCCCTCTTGGAAATCCCAGGCTCCTAGGACTGTGGCATGGGCTTGGTGAGGTTGCACGTAAGAAGTGCAGATCTCAGTCTCATCCCCTCGCCACACTCGAGTCAGCCCTGTGGACTGTGGCACCCTATAAGGTTTGCAACTACAACAGGCCTCTCTCTACCCTCACGCACACACAGTCTCGGCCCGGGCACAGCCCCATCACCTAGAGTCGGAGGGAGGGGCAATGGCCGGCAGGCTTTGCCTCACTCCTTCCTAAGGCCTTTCCCGTCATCAGGCAGAGGATCACGTAGCCCCAGAAGAACACCAGCAGTGGTAATTGCTCACGCTCTGGGCACATGTTAGTGCCAGGCACTGTCCTGAGGGTTCTACGTGCCCTAACCCATCAGATCCTCTCAGTTCCCCCATGCCAAGGGTCTAGTTATCATCCCCATTCTACAGATTAAGACCTTGAGGCCCAGAGAGATGATCACTTGTCAGAGTGCCCCGTGGGCTATGCTCTTAGCCACCGCTGCACAGGGCCTGTCAGGTCAAGTTTGAAGTCTGGTTTAGTACAGCTCTGCCATCCCCTAACCATGTGACCTTGGGCAGAGGGTTCTACCTCTGCATCTCGCTTTCTTCATCTGCAAAATGGGTTGCAGGCTGTGACCTTCCAGCTAGAGAAGAGGGGAGAATCTCTGGTCTGCGCACATCCAGGGGTGGCCCCAGGCTGCTAAGCACTCAGTGCCCCGCGTGCCAGCCGGTGCCGTGACTGGCACCGCTGTTGTGGCCATCATTCTTTCCTGAGAGGCCAGAGAACCATCCTGGGGAGCAGGGATTGAACTCGCTGACAAGGTTCCATGTGCACATGCCCTAGGATCCTGTAACCAAGGCATGGGGGCCAGAGCAAAGGACCCAGGCTGCCTTCCAAGCCAGCCAGCTGGCCTGCCCCAGATGGCCACCCCCGGCCGCCAAGCAGACAGCGTCAAGTGGGCCCGCAGCTCCCAGCAGATGGGATATGAGCATTGGCAGTGCCAGGCTTCCCACTGAGGCAGGAACAGACTTGGAGCTGGGCTTTGGCACCACACTCCCAAGCGCCAGCTCCTGGCCCCCACCCCAGTGAGCCTGGACAGGACAAGTCCAGGCCAGGACTGACTGCCCTGAACCCCTTTGCTGGCACTGTCTCGCCTGGCACATAGGACTGTCCAGCCCACCAGGCCGCATGAGTTCCCTTTGGCCTGACAAACATGGCGGGGGTATTTCATTTCATTTCATTTGAAAGGCAGAGGTGACAGGGAACCACGGAGAAAGAGATCCTTCATCTGCTGGGTCCCTTCCCAAATGACTCCAATAGTGACTTGGGCCAGGCTGGAGCCAGGAGCCAGGAGCTCCATCCTGGTCTCCCACCTGGGAGGCAGGGACCCATGTACTTGGACGATCTTCTGTTGCCTTCGCAGGCGCATTACCAAGAAGATGGATTGGAAGCAGAGTAGCCAGTGTGGGGATGCTGGCATCCATTAAGGGTGGTGGCTTAACTGTCCCACCACAACCCGGCCCCACACCTGAGTTTTTGCCAGGACATAGTTGCAATGTTTTTTTTTTTTTAATTGGGTTTTTCTTTAACAGTGTTTGTCTTTTTAACTGAGAAGTACCAAGTGCTCATTGTTAACAATTTAAGCAATACGTAAGTGTGCAAAGTAGAAAAGGGGAAGTTTCAGTGAAGAAAGCAAAGGGACCTCAGTTTTGTCCATTAAGTACATTATGTAAGTGGCATACGCCCTTAAGATAATCTCTAAGGAAAAAAACAAACTGTAGAATTTGTTAGAGGTTAAATTTTTAAAAAATTCTGAAGTATTGTATGTGGCTTTGTATACACTTGACATGTGTCTGCAAGTAAGAGCGGCTAACATGTCTTGAGCTCTCAGTGTGTGACAGATGTTGTGCCAGGCAGCTCTACAGGGATTATTTTATTGACTCCTTTCAGTGCCCTGAGGTAGGCATTCTTAGCTCCATTTTATCAGTGAAGTAACAAGTTCAGGGGCTGATCATGTGGCTCAGTGGTTTAAGCTGCCACCCGCAACACCAACATTCCCTATGAGTGCTGGTTTGAGTCCCGGCTGCTCCACTTCTGATCCAGCTCCCTGCTAGCATGCCTGGGAAAGCAGCAGAGAATGGTCCAAATGCTTGGGCCTCTGCTATCCACGTGGGAGACTCAGATGGAGTTCCTGGCTTCAACCTGGCCCAGCCCTGACTGTTGCAGCCATTTGGAGAGTGAACCAGCAGATGGAAGATGTGTCCCCCCCTCCCCCCTTACTCTGTCTTTCAGATAAATAAATCTTAAGAAGCAGGGTAGATAAATTAAGCCATTTTTTTTCGGGGCTACACAGCTAAGGAGGAAGTACAGCTGGGATTCAAACCCAGCCTGGGTGGACAACTCCCAAGCAACCTTCAGGAGAAGTTCTTGAAGGGTACACAGACTGCACAGCACAGAGAAAGGCAGGGAGTGGGTAGAGATTCACTTGGGCTGGTAGGAGCCCCCTTGCTTGAACAGCACTGTGTCCCTTTCACAGCTCACTTGATTTCATAACCTGCAGTGAGAAGATGCCAGATGTTACTGGGTTCTGAGCCAGAGGGCTGTGATGTGACTCGGGCTGCTCCAGGAAGAATGGACTGGAAGTGGGGCAGGGACAAGGAGACCAGAATGAGGCGGCTGTCCAGGTGGGAGATGACAGTGGACATGACCAGGTGGAGACAGAGCTGGCCACTCAAGATCTGCTAGCGCCCTACTTACCCCCAATGCAGAAGGAAAAGCTGGGAGCTTTTCAAGTAGTGGGCATTGGTGAAGTTTTCCAGTCCGTGTTGTCCCTTGGCCCCAGCAGAGGGCGCCGTGGGACAGTGTCAGTGGGACAGTGAGCCACTGAGCCTGTTGGTGCTTTAATGGGAACCCACAACCCGGGGGCCACCCACATTGGCAGGACAAAGCACCTGACATCATTGCTGTTCACAATCCGTTTCAAAACTTCCTTGCCTGTGATAAAAAGAGATTTGTTTTATAATCACCGTGGCCAAAACTGGGAACTCCCAGCCCTGAGATCATTTCATTCCTTCCACACATGCTTCTTGCCCCAGGTCCTGTTTAGAGAGTGGGCTGTCTGCTTAGAGGCAAAGTCTGAACACATTTTCACTGTCTCCTGTGTCTGTTGACTTAGGTGAGGGTGTTTGGGGAGTCAACAGTGATCTCTTTGGTGTTTGAACCATTGCTCCAAGTGTATTTTTCAGGTGCATAACAAGCCCCTGGGGAAGAGATTTTCTTTGTGATATTCTAGACCCCCTGGATCTCCTGTACCTGGCCCAGGGCGTGGCATGACCCGGTGGCCAGCGCACACTGTGACCGGAAGCATAAGCTGATGCTAGTGGGGACGTGAAGCAACAGGGCTCTCAGACAGGACTAGCAGGGTGTAAATTGGTACAGCCACTTGGAAAACAGTTTGGCAGTTCAGTGCGAGTGAAGATTAGCATGCCTGGTGACTTAGCACTGTCTCTCCTGGGTATAAACCCAAAGAAAAATGTGTTCCTGTGCACCAAGAAATGCTTCTGTGACCGTCCCTGGCGGCACTATTCACAGTTGTCAAATACTGGAAGCAACTCAGTGCTCAACAGCAGTAGAGAGGATTAAACCTGTGGTGGCAAAAATGTGGGCCTCACAACAAAGTGGAGTCTCATGCATGTGGCCTTAAGAAAGCCAGCACGCGAAAGGATGCAGACTGCGTGAAGCGCAGAAGCGGGCGGAAATAGATTACGATGTTGGAGTCAGCGTGAGGTTGTGCTGGGGAGGAGGGAAGGGCCGCGGAAGGGCTCCATGGGGCTGGAAAAGCATTTCTTGACTGCGCGGTGATTACCCAGGTCTTTGTTAGAAGTTCTGTGGCCATGCACAGATGTGTTATGTACTTTTATATGTGTGAATTAGACTTCACGGCAAAAAGAGAAGAGGTCGTGAGCTTTGGAAGACTCAGACCTTCGTTGGAATCCTGCTTCAGCCACTTGTCGGCTATGGAAGCCTTGGAAAAGGCACTAACCTCCTGAAGCTTCAGTTTGCTCATCTGTAAGGCAGAGAGAAAATCTCCCCTGGACCTCTACATATAATTAGACATTACTGTAGTATCTGGGTACAGTGCCGTGAGCTGTACTTTCAGAAGTGGGAGCTGTTATTAAGGTACATCAGTTAGAAATTTCCTTGACAGCAAAGTAACAGAAGACCTGACCCTCAATAGCTAAAACAATTAGGAGGTTATTTTAATTGTCTAATAAGAATGTTGGAGGTGGGCAGCTGCAGAGAGGGGAATTCGCCCCAGGAGTCCTCACCAAGCCGAGTTGCCCTTGCTTCTTGTCTGGAGCTGATCACATGACCAACTATTGGAAGAGCTTGGAAAGCAGTATCGGAGGAAGGGCACTGAGGGAGCCGTGACTGGCTCGGCCTGAAGTTTTTCCTGCAAGATTGCATGTCAGAATCACCCGAGAGGAACTTCCTATACATGTGTGTCTGTGCATGCGTGTGCGTGCGTGTGTGTGTGTAGCTAGGTAAGAGGGTACTTCAAAAGATTATGGCAAGGTGGGATTAGAAAATAAGTTTAGGGCCAGGAATCGTGGCTCTGCGGGTTAAGCCACCACTTGGGATGTCCAGTCCTGTGTCAGAGCGCCAGTTTGAGTCCAGTCCAGCTTCCTGCTAATGCCTCCTGGGAGGCAGTGGATGAGGGCTCAAGCACTTTGTCCCTGCTGCCCATGTCAGAGACCCAGATGGAGTTCCAGGTTCCTAACTTCAGCCTCGCCCAGCCCTGGCTGTTGCAGACATTCAGGGGGAGTGAACCAGTGGATAGAAGATCTCTCTTCCCCCTGCTCCCACCCTTTCTCTCTGTTGCTCTGCCTTTCAAGTGGATGAAAATAAAAGCAAATAAACATTAAAAAATTAAAAATATAAGTCTGAGGGTGGCACGTGGCCAGTGATTAAGAGACCAGTTGTCGTGCTCACATCCCACATTGGAGTACCTGAGTTCAATTCCCAGCTCCATCTCCTGATTCCAGCCTCCTGCTGTGGAGACCTTGGAGTCAGCAGTGGTGATGGCTCAAGTAGTTAGGTTCCTGCTACCCACATGGGAGACCTGAATTGAGTTCCTGGCTCCCAGGTTCAGCCCCTGGCCACCATCATGGGTATTTGAGGAGTAAGCCAGCAAACAGGAGCATTCTATTCACCCCCACCCCTCCATGCCTCTCAAATAAAAATTGTCTTAAAATTTTGTTTATTTTTAAATACATGCATGGGAGTGCATGTTTGGTCCCCAATTCAGACCAATTGAATCAAAATCACTGGTGTTGATTTGGAAACTGTTTGAAAGCCAGTGCCACAGTTAAGATTCCAGATACCAATAGCCAAGACATGCAGGTGTTTTATATGAAAGTTTATGGTCATCTGTTTATAATACAGTGTTGCAATGAGAGCCCATCTCCCCGTGGAGCCTCTTAAGTCCCTTTTATTTTCCACTACCTCATATGCCTCTCCTCCATGCCAGTGTCAGCTGCGTGGGGATGTGGGACTTCATCTTGTTCACTGCTCCTGGAATAGGACTAACGCTAGGAGTCACTCAGCCAATGTACATCGAGCATCTGCAGGTATTTCACATGCATTGTTTCATGTCATGCTCCCAGCACCCTTTCTGTCACCATTCCCACTTCACAAAAGAGGAAGTTGAGGTCAGAAATATGAAGTCCCTTGGTCAAGATCACACAGCCAGGAAGCAGCAAGTCAAGTCCTGGCTCAGACCCAGGACTTCGTGACCGTGCAGCTTCCAGCCATCACATGTCTCTTGGCAAACCGGACCCCCTCCTGGGCTTGAATCCCTCTGTAGGTCCTGAAGGCCTCCTAACCTTCCCTTGTCTCCCCTGAGCAGCTCATCACCCTGCGGGGCTCCATCCTGGAAGACGCCACGCCCACGGCCACGAAGCATGGGACTGGGCGGGGCCTGCCGCTGAAGGATGCGCTGGAGTACGTCATCCCGGAGCTCAACATCCACTGCCTGCGGCTGGCTCTCAACACTCCCAAGGTGACGGAGCAGCTCCTGAAGCTGGACGAGCAAGGGGTGAGTCAGGGCCTCTGGCGGGGGGCGCCGGGCAGTGACCTCAGCCCCACTCCTGCTGCCGCTTTCTGCGTTAGCCACTTTTTTTTTTTTTTTTTTTAAACAGAAACCAACTCCTTAGGAAGGATAGTTTCAGCCGAAGGCAGGGTGGGGGCTGGGGGTAAAGGTATTGAAGCAAATTCTAGGAGCTCTAAGAGCAGGAATGTGGCCTGGTCTTAGGAAATGTCTGGAGATGAGACAGCCACACGGTTTCCACATATGCGTGTGCCTAAGTACACGTGTCTGTCCTCTCCATCTCTGCTCTCTCTCTGGAGCATTGTGGTTAGAAGTACAGCCACATGCACATTCCAGTTAGCTGATCCTGAGTCGCAGGACAGCCATTGATCAGCGTAGAAGATCACATGTCTGTTCACGGTGCAGTGACCAGGTGAATACCTAAACAAGCATAACTATTGGAGGCCTACCCCTCCCCTAAAAAATGTTAAGTGAGCCCCGAGCTCTCCAGATGTTACTGTTGCAGACTCTCAGCCAGTCCCAGTCCACCTGCGAGAGCCACTGCCAGCTGCCCTCCACCCGCCATCGAGAGGAGAACAGGCAGCATGGGCACCTGGTTGTTCCTCTCTGGAACTGGAAGGAGGACGAGGGACAACTGGGACATGTCCCGATACCTGTTTCCTTCCGCTGGCTGTGGCTCTGAATTCCTGAGCGATCCTAGCAGCTCCCAGAGCTTAGCGGGCAGAAAGATCCTTTGTTCCGTGCCTGTGCCGTGCCTGCGCCGTGCCTGCCCGGCCTCTCTCCATAAAGCTGCGCTTGCCTCTGCAGCTCTGCCGGAAGCACAAGGTGGGCATCCTCTACTGCAAGGCAGGCCAGAGCTCCGAGGAGGAGATGTACAACAACGAGGAGGCCGGCCCTGCCTTCGAGGAGTTCCTCTCCCTCATCGGCGAGAAGGTCTGCCTCAAGGGGTTCACCAAGTACGCCGCCCAGCTGGATGTCAAGAGTAAGTGGAGGCCGGTTACATCACAGGGAGGCGCCACCACGTGCCCGCCCTGCCCGTGGGCCAAGGTTAAAAGGCCCGGCAATACCAGCGGGAGGACCTGGGGCACTGGGAGCTCTGGGGTCCTGCTGGCAGGTTGCAATCAACACAACCGTCCTGGAAACAGGGCAGTATATTCTAGTAAAAGCTGAAGCTACCCCCCATCCCGCGCTCTGGGAATTGCACTGCTAGATGTACACTGTGTGAGCAAGCTGGTGCCCACGCACCTGGAGAGTGCCCAGTGTCTGCAGCCAGGATGCGGGCCCTCAGCAGCCTGGATGAGGGCCACGTCCTGCGTGTCGTGTTGGACAGCGAGTCTCAGGAGAGTAGGTGCTGGATGATGCCTTTTACGTAACAGTTATTTAGAAAGCACACCAACAGTATGCTTCTGGGGGATTTGTTCTTATTTAGAGAGCTCTTAAGAATGAGCGAGGGGGTGATAGACGGCAGTGTGCAGGCTGGTAGTGGCTGCCTCTCCGGAGGGAGGGCGGCTACTCCGGAAAATGCTGCTCACATTGGAGCTGGTGCTGGTCTCTCAGGCAGGCGATGGGACACACTCTCTGAGTGCATCTTTGGATATGAGTACAGAAATCTGTGTAGGATTACAATTCACAGTAAGCTGTCAAGGTGGGTCGGGGTGAATGGCATCCGTGGATGTCACAGCTCCTGTGGGATGGACTGCCAGTGTCCTTGCTAGTGAGCTGTTCTGGGGTTAGAATGCTCCAAGATGGCTTAGTCACTTGCTCTTCCCCAAAATTTGGCAGGCCTCCGTTTGTTCGTCTGTGGAATGGAGGCCTAGGTCACAAGACTGATCTCAGCAAGGGACGCGTTAAGTAGGTGCCTGTGTCTGCCATCATCGTCACCTTTGCCCACTCTGTCCAAAGAGGCAGCAGGAAGAATAAACATGTTACCGTGCTGTTAGCTGGCCTGGCGACCTTGGGCGGTGGTTTTTACCTCTCTACCCCAGTCTACTTGTCTGTTAAGTGAGGGTCATGGTGGTGCGTGTCTCAGGAGCATGGTGAGGGTTCACACAGACGGCAGCGATCCAAGTGTCCTAGGCCCTTGTCCTGTGCTGGGGCTCTGAGGGCTCTGCAGGTGTGAGTGCTGCCCCGGGGGTGCTCATGTGGTGACTGACCCCGCCCAACACCCTGGCACCCGGGACACCGGCAGGTGTGTCCGCTGACCTTTATCATTCCCGCGGCCAATGTCACTTTCCTCACTAAGCACAGGCAGAAAAAGGATGAGAGGCTGTGGTGTCGCCCTTGCCCATAGCCTTGCTGTCCTCACTGGGTGACGTGAGGGTCTGATGCCCAACACAGGGCCTTGGAGAAGAACAGCACCAGGCAGACCCCAGCTGCAGCCATGTGGGTTCTGTGGAAGCAGATTTCCTCAGAGGACACTGGGAAGCACGGTGCCCCAGGCAGTCTCCTCAGCCAACAGGCAGGGATGCCCCTGGCTCCCAGCCCAGCGCTGGCCCTGGTCACCCGTGGCTTCAGTGTCCCCTACCTGACACTGGAACAGTAAGGACACAGACCTGGGGGGCAGCATTGTGGTGTAGCAGGTAGAGCTGCTGCCTGCAATGCCAGCATCCTGTATAGGCACTGGTCTGTGTCCTGGCTGCTCCACTTCCATCCAGCTCCCTGCCAATGTCTTAGTAAAGCAGGTGGAAGATGGCCCAGGTGCCTGGATTCTTGCTACGCGTGTGGAAGACCCAGAAATTGTTCCTGGCTCAGCTCTGGCTGTTGGAGCTATCTGGGGGAGTGGATAGAAGATCTCTCTGTCTGTAACCCTTTCAGATAAATAAATCTTTAAGAACAAAAACCAATCAAACAAACAAACAAAAAAACCCACCGACCAGGAGTCAGTCAGCCTGGGTGCAGACTCTGCCACTCAATGCAGTGTGACCTTGGCCGAGGCACTCCCTCTCCGTGTCGCAGTTTTGCCTCTAAGTGTGGAGTCAGTAGTCAGGTGTGGCTTTCCCTGATCACAACCCCTGCTCCTGAAGGTAACTGGTGTCCTCAGTCCTTATAGTTTTGCTGCTTATGGATGCATCCCTACACAGTACAAGTTGTGGGGTCTGCATATAACGTGAATGAAATCCTACCATACATGCTTCTTTGTGTCTGGCATCTTCCATGCAATGTTATATTTGTAGCAGCTGCCCATTGCAGGCCTGACTTGCTCTTTTTCCTGCTAATTTTCCACCCTGTGAATATACTGCAGTGTGTCTATCCCTTCTTACAACTGACATGTGAAGATTCTCGAACCCATGTCCCAGGGCACATGTGCACGATGTCTTCAGGCTATGGCCCTGGAGGAAGCACTGGATTATCAGAGTGGCTGTACCACGTTACACCCCCAACTAGCCACATGAAGGGCACATGGCCCCATATCCTCACCAGCCCTTCATACCATCAGACTTTTTATTTATTTATTTTTTTATCAATCCGGTGGTTGTATATTGGGAGGTTTCCTTTTTAGCTAAACTTACTTAATTTTAAAGAGTGGACCTGAGGGACCAGCTCTGTGGTGTAGTGGGTAAAGCCACTGCCTGCAGTGCCAGCGTCCCATATGGATGCTGGTTTGAATCCTGGCTGCTCCACTTCCAATCCCACTCTCTTCTATGGCCTGGGAAAGCAGTAGAGGATGGCTCAAGTCCTTGGGCCCCTGCACCCATGTGGGAGACCCAGAGGAAGCTCCAGGTTCCTGGCTTCAGGTTGGCCCAGCTCCAGCCATTGCTGCCATTTGGAGAGTGAACCAGTGGATGGAAGACTCACTCTCACTCACTCTCACTCTCTCTCTCTCTCTCTCTCTCTTTCTCTGTAACTGCCTCTCAAATGAATAAATAAATATTTAAAAAAACAGATTTGAGTAAAAGCGTCAAGTGGAAAACTAGCACAGATGGTGTGTGGGACATTGCAGAAACCCATGGGTTTTGGAAATGTACTAACTGGTGTCTCTCTCTCAGCCGACTCCACGGGAACCCACTCCCTCTACACGACGTACCAGGACTACGAGATCATGTTCCACGTCTCCACCCTGCTCCCTTACACCCCCAACAATAGGCAGCAGGTCAGTGATTTGCACCTGATGCATGCTTGCTCCCCAGGCGTTCTCCTCCCCTGTGGCTGTTGGCTGTCCAGCACTGGCTCTCTCAGCACTGTCCTGTGCATCAAATGAAGGCCCTTGGCCTTGGAGACCCTCCGTGTATGTGGTCACTTCACCTGGGAGGAGAGGTTAGGCCAAATGTGGAGTGACGTCTGTTTGGTACCAGTTTTTCTTGCTATTCTTTGGCCTCCTGCTTGACCCTAGCCGCCTCAATCCCTCTCAGGGGTCTCTGAGTCATCACTCGTCTTATGAAAACAAAGAATGAGTCACTCAACATTTGTTTGACTACAAATGGCAGAAGGTCAAACTGGCATGAGCGAAAAAAAAAAAAGTGGATTTATTGGGTTCTGGGAGAAGACTGGCTTTAGGTGTGCCTGGATCAAGGGCTCAGACAGCATTAACAATCCTGTCCATTTCTCACCTCTGCTCTTCTTTGGAGTGGCTTTGTTCACAGGTCCTCCTAAGTCATGACAAACGTGTCCCCTAGCAGCCATGGGCTCCCATGCCACCAGCATAGCCACTCCAGGGGAGAGACAGGTGTTCCTTCCAGTTGTCCCAGAAATGTTCCATTGCTGAAACTCATTGGGTCACCCACATGAAAATCTCTTGCCTGGGATGGAGATAGAATGGGCTGACCGGCTAAACCTGGGGCCTGTGTCCACCCCAGAGAGGGTGAGTGCAGGCAGGGAGGTGTTTTCCAAAGGGGATGGATGTGGGTCACAGAAGAGGAAGGTGGAGGGACAGAAAGGCAAGGATAGCAGCCCCCACTGCCAGTGTGACCCAGGTCCTCCCCGGACACTTCCCAGCACAGGGTCTAGGGAACGGCTCTTCCTAAAGTCTAATGAAGAGAAACCCCACAGAGTGTTGACAATTCAGGAAGTGAATATTTGTTCCTGGTTGATAAAAGTGATAGTGTAGGTTTTGTAGGCCAAAAATGGTCAAAAGTCAGCAATTTTGTAAAACTAACCTGATAGCATGCCATTAAGAGCATTGGTCTCCGAGTTAAACTAGAGTTGGAATTCTTTCTTTGCCTTTTCCTAGCTGTGTGGCCTCAGGAAAGTGACTTTACCTCTCTGAACCTCAGGCTCCTCTGTAAACTGAGCTGAACAATCATGCCCGTGTTCTGGGCCGACACTGAGAAAGGTCCATGCTCTCATACTTGAAACTGGAGCGCAAGGCAGGCCAGACACACAGGAGCGACACAGGAGTGGGGCCGTCTCTGAGTGTTTGGGTTGCCTGATGGGAAAAGTTGGCTCACAGAGTGTAACAGAAGTGTGTTAGAATCCTGGCTGTTTCCATCACTGCCTGACTGAGGACAAATCATTTAATCATACCTCACAGGGTTGTTATAAAGCCTCAATGAGGTTGTGCATGTGAGTTGTAAATAGTTATAAAAAGTCTAGTATGGGATCTGCCCAAGTAAGTAAGTACTTTATCTAGTCCTTTCGTTTAAAGTAGTTTAGAACACACACAAAGAATGAACAGGAGGGGCCAGCATTGTGGCACAGTGGGTTGAACCATTGCCTGCCATGTGAGCACCTGTTTGAGTCCCTGCTGTTCTACTTCCCATCCAGCTCCTTTGTAATATGCCTGGGAGGGCAGCTGAGAATGGCCCGAGTGCTTGGGCCTTTGCTGCCCACGTGGAAGACCTGGATGGAGTCCCAGGCTCTTGGCTTTGGCCTGACCCTGCCTCAACTGTTGCAGCCTTTTGAGGAGTGAGCCCTAGTGGGTGCAAGATCTTCCCCCCACCACCTTGTCTCCCTCTCTCTCTGTAATGCCACCTTTCAAATAAATAAATCTTAAAAAAAAAAAAAAAAAAGCAACTAACAGTGGTTAAGATACCACTTGGGATGCCCATGTCCAATATATCGGAGTGCCTGGGTTCAAGTCCCAGCTCCACTTCCAATTCCACCTTCCTACTAATGTGCATTCTGGAAGGCAATAGGTGATGGCCCAAGTACTTGGGTCGCTGCCACCTATGTGAGAGACCTGGGTTGAATTCTGGGCTCCTGACTTTGGCCTGGCTACTTGTGGGCATTTGGAGAATGAATCAACAAATAGAAGATCGTTCCCTACTGCCCCTTGCCCCAGCCTATCAAGTAAATAAAAATAATTTTTTTAAAAAAATTGAAAAGCAAAAATAAACAGCTCAGTAGTGTGAGCTGAGCTTCTACCTGTGTCTGGCTGTTTCGCTGTGAACCATCTCATTGAGAGCTGCGTGGGACACCTCTCTGGGTCTCCTGTTGCCCACGTGGATTCCTTGACAGCTATGTGAAGATCGAACCTAACTACAGACATTGGAATCTCAGCTGACAGCAGCAAGGAGACATCAGTGTTCCCCAGAGACTGACCAGCAGGAGAGAGAAGGCAGGGCTCCACTAGGCCAGAATAAAGGCCCAGCTTCCCTGACCTTCTCAACTCAGGTGTCCAGGGAAGGGGTGGCAGGCGAGAGCTGGCCCTGCTGCCTGCAGGCCTCTGGGCAGGCTGAGCCCTTGTCCACGAGTGTGGCTTTGAGCAAGCTGAAGACCACAGGCCATGCTCTCCTTCAACAGACTCTGCTGACTAAGCACCGCCTCCTATCTGCCAGGCACCGTTGTAGGCACTGAGGGTATGGTGAGCAGAGGGCAGTGAGCAAAGCCAACACAGTCCCTGTCCTCGTGGGGCTGACGCTTCAGTGGGAAGAGACGCACAAAGGGAGAGGGGAATACACTGTGTTAGTAGTAGGGACAGAAAAGTGGAGGTGGGGAGTGCCGGGCAGCGGTTAGATCCTGGAGGAGATGGTCAGAAAGGCCTCTACCAGAGGGGACGGTGCAGCAGAGATCCAAGGAGTGAGGGGGGACAGCCAGTGCTGAGGCCTTCAGGTCAGGCCTCCTTTCTGGCATGTTGGAGGCGCAGGGGGGCCAGTGTGGGGAGGAGCATGGGAAACGCAGTCACGCAGGGAGTGGTGGTGGACCTTTGTCCTTTATCACGAGTGAGAGGGATTCGTGGGAGGTCTCTGCCCTAACGCAGCTCCTTCCTGGGTTCCTCCACGTGTGGGGACAGTGGGGGCCCGGAGTGGGAACGGGGAGACAGTGAGCAGCTGCTTCAGGGTGAGGCAGGGCCCCAGGGCCAGCCTGTGACGCTTTCCTCTCCCCCCGGTGCCCGTTTACCAGCTCCTGAGGAAGAGGCACATAGGCAACGACATAGTGACGATCATCTTCCAGGAGCCCGGAGCGCTGCCCTTCACCCCCAAGAACATCCGCTCGCACTTTCAGCACGTCTTCATCATTGTCCGCGTCCACAACCCCTGCACTGACAGCGTCTGCTACAGGTACGCCCGCCCATCCCGCGTGCACGCCAGGCAGCGCGCAGAGGCAGCACGCAGCTCCTGGCTGCCTCCTGTGCTGCCTGTTAGTAGGGGCGGGGGCTCCCAAGTTCTGATATGGAAACCATCAGGAATTTGTATTTGCTTGAAGTCTTTCATTGCAAGTGACAGAAAACCCACCTAAGTCTGGGTTAAGACAAAAGTGCAGTTGTGTCTGTTGGTGCTCAAAAAGTGACAAGGTTAGGAATGACTGGATCTGCTTCGTTTTCCTGTACTTTGCCTTATTTCCTGGCAGCTGGGAGCTTCTTAATATCCTATCTGCAGCAAATCCAGCAAAAAGAGGGCTAATCTTTCCCCGGAGCTGAAGCAGAAACCCAAGAACGGAGCTAATGGACGTGGTTGGAATCAGGTTCCCATCACAGAGCCAAGTGATTGGCCAGGCTGGGCACCAGGCCACCAGGACTGAGAGGCACAGGAGTGATGGCCCCAAGGAAAGATCAGGTGGAGGGATGGAGACAGGGCAGTCAGGCACCGGAGATGGACCTAACCAGGGAGGTAGAATTGAGGACTTTTAATTAACAGGGGCCCCTTCCCCGTGTCCTGCATTCTGCATCTTTGTTCCATATCTGTTGCTCCCCGTCTTCGTGGAGGAACGACACAGGACCCTGCGCTGTTCTTTCGTCTGCTCGGCCCTCCCCGGGTTTGCTGCTGGTTCTTCCCGGGTTGGCTACCGTCCCTTCCACCTCCGTGGAAGGGTGGCTCCCCCTGCCACATTCCCCACTTCCGCGGGGGAGCGGCACACCGCCGGCCGGCTCTCTCGGGGGCTGCTCAGGTGTTCCTTCAGATAGATGTTCCCTGGTGCATGTTGTCTCCTCCTTTATAGTCCTCTTCCACCAATCCCAACTCTGCTACCCACACGCCGAGTACGCTGCTCTCCTCCAATCAGGAGCAGGTCCTGCTGTTTATTGGTTGAACTGGAGGCAGCTGTGTAGAAGCTGTTTCCTCCTCTCCCAGCGCCATATTGTGGGAGAGCAGATGCATAGAATAAGTCTTAATTCCAGTAACTTAGTCTAGTCCGAGTTGCTCCCACACATATCCTTCCCCAGCCGCAGTGAAGCCCAGGAGAGGGGGCAGCCCCAGAGAACAAATGGGAAGCCCTCAGTGGGTGGGGAGGGAGGCCAAAGCTGTGGTCCTTGGGAACCATCCCGTGAGTAACCCAGGCCCAGGCCACAGTGCAGACTCGGGAACAGGCTGAGATGTGTTAGTTTCCAATTTTTGAGAGTGGCCTGACCCCCAGCCGCCCCACCCAGGTGCCTTCACGGAGGCAGCGGGGTCAGCTGTTTCCTGTGCATCCCAATGCCTGAGGCGCAGACGCTGTGTGTTCGGTTTCCTCTTCCCCCGTTTCTGCACACACGGCAGCCTGTCGTGCACACTGTTCTGCAGCCTGTCTTTGAGGTCTTTCCACACCAGTACACAACATGCTTTTGAATTCTGACTACTTAATATTCTACTCTGCGGACACGTCCTCTGTTGATGGACACTGGCAACGGTAACCCCGCTTCTGCTCAGTGCACACGTTTCCAAGCATGCCGCTGTAGGGTGCATTTCTGGAGGTAGAGGGATGTGCCTGTGTGTACTGGTGGTCTGGGTGCGGTTGCCAGAATCCACTGGTTTCTTCTCTCCGCTGGGTGTCCATGTAGCACTTGCAGGGGAGAAGCACGGGGCTGGGTGTGCTGGTCACTGGTTGCTGGGAGCCAGCACACTGGGTAGCAGGACCTGCTTACAGGTAAGGCCCCAAGCTTGAGGCCTGCTCTCCCCCAGCGCATTTGTTCCCGGGACATCCAGGGGCCGCTGCAGAGCGTCCGTACCTCAGGCTCCGGGTGGCACTGAGCACACCGGCATGGTGCTGGGCTTCAGAGGTGCAGTCTTTCTCCGCGGCTGAGAGGTAGCCCTGGTGAGGAAAGGTGGGAGCCGTTCTCGCACACACCCCACCCGTGGAAAAGGAGGCAGCCCTCTTAGGTGTCAGACATGGCGGGTTGAGTTGGCCTGGCCGGACCCTTCTCCCCATCCTCCCCACACTGTCTGCCCCTCTCCAACCTGGCGGCGGCCTCCTACCTCTCCCAGCCTGCTCTGTGTGGTCTCCAGGGTAATTTCTTCTTATCTGGTGCACAAACTTTTCTTGTTTTTTATAATCTGACTTAAAATGCTTTTTATTATGCAATATTTTAAACCTTCTGAAAGTGCAGAAAATAATGTAACAGACACCCATGTGCCCACCACCAGATTTAACAGATGTTAACATTTTGCCTCATTTGCTGCAGCTCTCCCTCTTTTTTTTATTTTTAAAGAAAGAAAATGTTAGCGATAGAACCAAAGCTGCCCCTCACCCACTGCACTTCTCTCCCTTCCTTCGCCCTGGCAGCCACTCTCAGGACACACCCGGCCCCGTCTGTCCCCTGTGGGAGGGAGCCATCTGCAGTTTGCCAGGCCCCACCCACCCCAGTGTGACCTCCTGCCCCTCCTCGCCCCAGAGTCCCTCCAGTGGATTCCTAACTGCCCTTTAGGGCCGAGTCAGATGTAGCTCTGACACCCTCCAGTGGTCCTTACCCTCCCCACGTGCTGTTGCCAACACACTTCTGTCACAGCACTCACCACACCATGAAAGTGACTTCTTATGACTTGCGCCTCCCGTGAAAGTAACCCAGTGTCGTATTTACCTTCGTTTTCCTGTCATGGCACAGTGCTTGGCACATTGTGGGCCATCAAGGCATTTTTGCTGGCTGAACAGATGCCTGGCCCAAATATTGTAGGCACTAAGAAAATAATCGTTGGGTTGTGGGGTGAATAATTGTGAGTGTTCTAAAAATACTTCCTGAGCTGTGATGGTCAGGGGACCTGGTGGTCACACCCTTGCCTAGCTGGGCGTGGCATCCTGTGCACTGGGTCCCGTGTGGTGCTACACGGCATAGCAGCAGCAGTGGGGAGTGGTGGTAGTCAGCCCAGTCCCTCCTGCTAGGAAGGGAAAGACCAGATGCTCTGATTGTTCAAAAGCCTTCTGTAGTTTGCAGTTTCATAATTCTTGAAATCCTGAATCAGAACTGTGGGAAAAGCCAAACCTGTCACTCTAAACAGCCAAGTACTCTATGAGATGTTGCAAAACTCTTCCCATCCACGCAGCACAGTCTGACCCTGTCATTAATTGGAGGTGAGGGATTGGCGAGGTCATCTCATCCATCTCCTGCCCCGGGGCAAGGCCACGCCCCCCAGAACTTCCCCTGGAGGAACACTGGCCTGGTCTGTGTAGCCTCTGCGGAGTGTCTGCCCTGGGAAGCGCCGTCTGCCGCTGAACTTGCTCCCGCTCTAAGGTGCTACAGCTTGCTTTCTTCTGGGTCTGTGCAAGTTGAAATCATTACTTCATACTGAATACCTGGGGAGTCTGGTAGGCCTGGGGGGTACCTGCCTGTGTGGCACTCCTGGAGTGTGAAGCACCCCTAAACAGAGACTGAGCCAGAGTCTGACCTGTCACATGGGGGTCACACAGTAACCTCCTCCCCCCAGTCTTCTTGCATATTCTCTTCTTTGTAAGGTCACCACAGGGTTCTTTGCAGATTGCCGGTCTCTGGGTCAGTCTTTCCACGTCCATCATCCATCAGGGTCCCAGCAAGAAGCAAGTGCCCTCACCCAAGTGTGTAAGTGAAGTTAACAAATAGGCTACTAACAGAGGTGTGGCTAGGTTATGGAGCCAGTGTGGCCGAGTGAGGCATCTAAGGGCTAGCAGCAGCAGGGAGCCACTTTTGCACCACCCAGCTTGATAGAGTGAGACGAGGGATGGGAAGAGAAGTTTCTGGAAGCTGATAAGGGAGTTGAGGCTATGAGTAAGGGACTCAGGACCACAGCCCAGCAGGGAGGAAAAGACAAGAAATAATTGTAGTAACCACTCTCCTTCTGTGCTTCCCACTGGTCAAACTCAGCTGGAAGCCAGAGGACCCGAGAGCCACGGAGAGCTTCCTTCCAGAGCCCTGAGCAGGCCAGAGCATGGCAGATTTCAGGGGCCAGTGGACAGTTTCGCCACTGATCAGATGAGTCAGTGGTTGCTGCCCTCCTGATAAGGATGGAAGCTGTGACACATTCCCAAGGTCTGTGTGGCCCTGTCCTGGTACAGCATCCTGCTCCGTGTGTGTGGGTTTTGGCCCGTGGCCTCAGCTGACCCTGTTGTATGCCCTTCCTCATCAGGCCGTGGCACACGCCGTGCCCTCTGCTTGCATTGCTCCCCCCACCCCCACCACCTTCCTCTAGCTCCTGCTCAGCCCTTAGAGCTCAGCTTAACTGGCGTTTCCTCAGAAAGCCCTCCCAGATGCCAACCCAAATCCAATCCATGTTCTTCTGTTGTTTTGTCATTACTTTGTCTTTGTGAGTTGACGTGTGTGTTCACTTGATGTCTCTCCTGTTAGATTAGAAGCTTTGGGAAAGCAGAGACCACTGTGTCCCCAGTGTCCAGGAGAGCAGGTGTCCAGGAAGTGCTTGTCCTTTTTGTGGAGGCGGGGACAGCAGAGTCAACCAAACAGGAACAAGCAGGTTAGGGGGCGGGGGAGCCACAACAATACAAAAGTTGCACTTTGTAAATTCACATTTATTAAATTAAAAAAAAGATTAAAAAAAAAACATGAACAAGCGTTACATTGTGTTCAGGCTTCACGGGGTATTTTTAAATCAGCATTTTAAAAACCATCCTGAGGTGGGCACAGTGGTGCAGGGGGCTGGGCTGCTGCTTGGGATGCCCGCATCCTCTATGGGAGGGGAATAGAGTCCCACCTCAGTCCCATCCAGCTTCCTGCTGATGTGTAGCGTGAGGGGCAGCAGCTGAGGGCTCAAGTAGTTGGGTCCCTGCCACTCACGTGGGAAACCCAGATGGAGTTCCTGGCCCCAGCCTGGCCCAGCCCTGGCTGCTGTGGACATTTCAGGGAGTAAACCGGATGATGGAAGGTCCATCTCCTCACCCTCTATCATCTCTCTGCCTTTAAAATAAACAAATATACATGCTTTGAAAGTGAAATGGTAACACCAAGTGGGAGGGGGGAAGAACCCTACAATAGGAGAGAAGCAGTAGGAACTCTTCCTTACCGTCATACTCCCAAGTTGAAGCATTTATTAAGGATGAATGTAATACCTACAGTACTTTAAGAACACTAAGTTAACTTCCTGCTCCGTCGTGTGCCAGGGCTCATATCATGCAGCCTTAGTGGCTTCTGCCTTCGCCTGTGGGTGAGGCTCTGGCAGGTGTCTTGATCTTTCTGCTCACTTTCAGAAATCATCTGCCCAAAGCTCACTGGGTCTCAGCTCGCTTGGGTCATGAGAATGTTGCTTCCAAGCTGTTCGTCAGATCTCTAGACTCAGTTCATCAACAGCTCTCCTCCCAGCTCAGGGCTGCTTCCACCAGGAAGCCTCGTGGGTAGGGAGCCTGATCACCTCCTCCGTTTCTCCTCCTCCAAGCTCTGCCAACTGCCAGGTTCTGACTCATCCATGGCCAGAGTGCAGGGAAGAAAAGGGAAGCCGGGAAGTACCACTTGCACTGTGGTGGCAGCTAGCTGGGCTCCAGGATCTTGCAGGCAGGGGACCGGACCCAGATCTCCTCACCAGAAAGGCCACCAGGGGGCCTCTGCCCAGGAGGGTGGGGGAACAGGGCTCACCTCCTAGTGGGTGATGGGGCTCAAGGATTTTGGGGTACAGGCTCTTAGATAATCTCCTTTTTATAAATTAATGGAGTTGCTGTCTGATTTCTGACTTAATGGCATCTCTGCCAAAACTGAAGGAAGAAAAGTCACATGGTAACTTCCTATTATAATGAATTTTCCAAATAAGCTTTGTTGAGATGATTTAGAAGGTGTATTAGTGTTATATGATGTTAGAAAGAACTAAAGCGCACCAGAGAGGTAGGTCAGCTGGGATCTGGCTGAACTTTGTTCCAGGTGTCCCGCATCCTTTTGGAACCAGCAGGCCACCTGGGGTCTGTTCATCCCGTGGTAATGGCAGGAACATAGGAGCCAAGCCCAGCCCTTCCCACACATTTCAAGTCTTTCTTTGACAGCTATTGGCCAAATCAAGTCATGTGATCAGGCCCAGGTTCACTAGGCGAGGGATGTACCTGTGTACAAAGGTGGAGAGGAAGGAGTGGATTCCCACCAAATTGAAATCTAATCCACCACACAATCGCCGTGTGTGCAAAACAGTAATAACTGAAGTTGAACAATACTCAGGTCATTCTCCTTGACGGCTATGGGTGTTCAAACATCTACTATATAGAAAGAAAAATGTGCAAGCTTGCCTAAGGGTTGTTTCTAAGCTTCTAATCTAGTTGGCAGCTTTCTCATTAGATGTGCATTTCATTATTCAAGACGAAACTCCCTTTGATCATGTGTTTTCTTCCTAAAAACAGTCTTAGTGCTGTTCTTCCCACTCTCAATGATTTCTCCCTCCTCAGTATGGCTGTGACCCGATCCAAAGACGCTCCTCCCTTCGGCCCCCCGATCCCCAATGGAACCACATTCCGCAAATCTGACGTCTTCAGAGACTTCTTGCTGGCCAAGGTGATTAATGCTGAGAATGCTGCACACAAGTCTGACAAGTTCCACACCATGGCCACCAGGACCCGCCAGGAGTACCTCAAGGACCTGGCTGAAAACTGTGTCTCCAACACACCCATTGACTCCTCTGGCAAATTCAACCTCATCTCCCTGACCTCCAAGAAAAAGGAGAAGACAAAGGCGCGGGCAGGCGCCGAGCAGCACAGCGCGGGGGCTATCGCCTGGAGGGTGGCAGCTCAGGACTACGCCCAGGGGGTAGAAATTGACTGCATTTTGGGAATTTCCAATGAATTTGTGGTGCTCCTGGACCTACGCACAAAGGAAGTGGTTTTCAACTGCTACTGTGGGGATGTCATTGGCTGGACCCCAGACTCCTCAACGCTGAAAATCTTCTATGGACGAGGGGACCACATCTTCCTACAGTCCACAGAGGGGTCTGTAGAGGACATCCGGGAAATTGTACAGAGACTAAAGGTAAGACACAGCTCGGCAGTGATCCCTGTGGTGTGGCAAGAGCTTTGGGGACCATTGAAGTATTTTACATAGACCAGTCAGGTGGGCTGGCACACTGATCAGCCCAAAGAGGCTCAGAATTGTCACACCCCTGCAGCCTGGGTTCTTTCTGAAGAAGGTTTGGACCAGGAATCTGAGGCTTTCCATGCTGTCATCACATTGGAAGAATAAAAGACCTACTTTTTAACCCAGAGAGTTGCCAGAAAATATAAATGTATGCTTACATAAGGAATGTGAGAGTGTTGTTTAGAAGATAAAAATAGAATGAAAAGGTTCTAAACCATTAAAGAATAGGGGCAGGCATGGTGAAGATAGAAGAAAGCATGATAAACGAAACTTGAACTTAAAATTCTATGGCAGGCATAAGTTCTCTGTCTGGTAGTCACAATAAATGTGAGTGGTTTAACTTCCCTATCAAAAGACAAGGACTCAGTCTGGATAAAAGTTTTACCCTGAACTCTTGGTGACCAGCTCAGACTCGGACTGTTGGCCAAGCCAAGAGTGGCAGATTGATCACAACTTAGTTGTTAGTGACTGCCTAAATCCTCGTGCAAAGAAGCACTGAGGTGGCCTGCACCGTGGCTCACTAGGCTAATCCTCCGCCTGTGGCGCCGGCACCCCAGGTTCTTGTCCCAGTTGCTCCTCTTCCAGTCCAGTTCTCTGCTGTGGCCTGGGAGTGCAGTGGAAGATGGCCCAAGTACTTGGGCCCTGTACCCACATGGGAGACCAGGAGGAAGCACCTGGCTCCTGGCTTCGGCTCAGTGCAGTGCACCGGCCATGGCAGCCATTTGGGGGGTAAACCAACGGAAGGAGGACCTTTCTCTCTCTCTCTCTCTCTCACTGTCTAACTCTGCCTGTCAAAAAAAAAAAAAAAAAAAAAAAAGAAGAAGAAGAAGCAGCAGCAGCAGCACTGAGGCTACCCCTAATCCCCGTGGAAAAAGACTCTCTAGTCAGGGATTGCCTCCACAGGGAGTTAGCAGAGTGGCAGGTCATGCCTGCTAAATAGAGAAGGGGTGAAACACAGTTGTTAACATCACAAGTTCTGTGTTAGAAGGCTTAGCTTCAAGTCCTGGCACTGCCTCCTACCATCTGTGTGCCCTTGACCCAGGTTATTTAACCTCTGCGTGACTCAGTTTCCCCATCTGAAAAGTGGGAGCAAGAATCTTTCTACTTAAGGATTGGATGAATTACGGTGCCTAGACAAGCTTACGTGACTTGGGCTGTGGCTTCCCAATGCCACTGTCACTGGTGCTGTCCTTGGCCTTCTAAGCCTTTGCATTCTCATGAAGTTCACAGCCAATAAGTGGCAGAAGTGGGGTCTGAATACAGGTTTTTCTGACTTAAAGCCTACTTGTGGGGCTGGTGTTACGTTGTGAAAGCAGCAGGTTAAGCTGCCACTTGCAGCACCAGCATCCCATAGCAGAGCGCCGGTTTGAGCCCCAGGTGCTCTGCTTCTGATCCAGCTCCCTGCTAATGCACCTGAAGAAGCAGCAGAAGGTGACTTAAGTACTTGGGCCCCTCCCACTCCTGGCTTCAGCCTGGCCCATCCTCAACTGGTGGGGCCATTTGGGGTGAGCCAACAGATGGAAAATCTTTTACTCTCTCTGTCACTGTGCCTTTCAACTAAATAAAATAAATCTTTAGGGGAAAAAAAAAAAAACAGAAAACAACCTGCCCAACACAAGGCTGGTCTGTAACTGCTTACTCAGCACCCCTACTGGGTGCCCGAGAGACTCCTGAAATAAGAGGTCCAAGAGCAATCTCCTGGTGCCCTCCCCACCCCACCCTCTCAGTTCTCTCTCAACAGAAGACAAGTCCATCTCTCCGCTGGTTGAGGTCAGAAACTTTGGCATTAGCCTGACCCCGTCTTTTCTTTCACACCCGCTTGCCATCTATCCATCTAGTGGAGACTACAACTACTTCTCCTTTCATCGCCTTTTCCCTGGCATGAGCCACTGCTGTCTCTTCTAGACTGTTGTGGTGGCCTCCTTATTGATCCCCTCTGTCCCCAGCCTTACTTCCCTGTGGTCTGTCATGTACTCTGTGGCCAGAGGGGTCTGATCACATTGCTGCTGACTGCAAACCTTCAGCTAGCTCTCGGTAAAAAGCCACTTCCTGCAGTGGCTCGCAGGCCCTGCATGATCCGGGCTCTGACCTTGTCTCCCCATTCCTCTCTCTGCCACACAGACCCCTACTCTTTCTCCAGTGCGCTATGCAGGCATCCAGCCTCAGGCCTTCGCACTGCCTTTGTCCCTTCACTGGAATCCCCACCCCTGATCTCCACGTGGCTCCCTCCCTCCCTTTGGGGCAGCGTCTCAGTGTCTGAGATTGCAAGCCCCCTTGCCTGACTTGGCCCAGAGCACATTCCGCCCACTTTGCCTGCTTTTCCGCCATCTGACGTGTTGATTGATTGATGTATCGCTGGCTTACCACTATGCGAATGGCACATAGTGGCCACTTAGCACGTACCAGATGTGTGCACGAATGCAGACTCTCTGGTCGTGGGCTGGGGGCAGGGCAGGGGGCCACACAGCATGGCTTTGCGTTTCTTCTCACAGAAGCCCACCCCATTATCTTCCCTGCTTCACAGATGAGGAGACTGAGGTGCAGGGAGGTCACGTGACTCGCCCAGTGCCCAGAGGGAGTGAAGAGCCTGAGATCTTAAACATGAGACCATTCCACTCCCCAGATCCTGACCATGAGCTCTGTTTTCTTTTCTTTTCTTTTCTTTTTTTTTTTATTATTTGACAGGTAGAGTTATAGACAGTGAGCGAGAAAAACAGAGAGAAAGGTCTTTCTTCCGTTGGTTCACTCCCCAAATGGCCGCCACAGCCAGTGCTGTGCCTATCAGGAGCCAGGAGCCAGGAGCTTCTTCCTGGTCTCCCATGCGGGTGCAGGGGCCCAAGCACTTGGGCTATCCTCCACTGCCTTCCCGGGCCACAGCAGCGAGCTGGACTGTAAGAGGAGCAACCGGGACTAGAACCCAGCACCCATATGGGATGCCGGCGCCACAGGCGGCGGATTAACCAAGTGAGCCACGGCGCCAGCCCCTCTGTTTTCTTGAACAGGAGCTGTGCCAGGCTACATTCTCTCTGTGCCATGCCCACTGTTGGCACAATCTTTTTAGAGTCTATTTCCACAGCCACCCCCTACCCTGAGTCTTGGCTCCAAAGCCTACATAGGTGCCATTGGACCAGAAAGCAGACGTTAGCCGTCTCCTGTGAAGGGGCAGGCTCACCCTAAAGGACACATGGCTGTGAACTCTCTCCTTGTGAAGTCCTCCAGGGCAAGGATTCCCCACCCTCTCCTGGCAGAGCTGGGATTCAAACCCAAGGAGGCTGACTAGATACCCTAGGCACCCTGAACTAACCCCATCACTTCATTTGTTAATGGAACAAGTTTTATTATGTGCCTGGCCCTGGGACACAGTGGTGACAGTGAGCCCAGGCCTGCCTTCATGGGGCTCTCATCCAGAGCAGATCTGGAATGAGCAATTACAAGTGCAAAGAACTTAAAAGGAGTGTTAGGGATGCCAGGAGAAACTATTGCAGGCAGCTGAATCGGATGAGCAAGGGTCTTACATCCACAAGTTGGACACGTCCCCTAGTTAGTTAACAGCCAAAGCTTCACATTTAGATTTCATGCAGATCTGGCTTTCTGGCTTCTTTTGAAAAATTGAGAGATCTAGCTCCACAGGGCCCACATTTGCATAGGACAGGGGTCGGCTGAGTGGGCCGAGGGGGTCCCCATGAATCTTGGCAGCCCACATCTCTTGTTTACATTGCCTGACAAGCACCTGAGCTGTAAGCTGGGCCCAGGAAGCTGGGGAGATGCTCCCCAGGAATTGAATTTCTTTTTCTTTTAAAGATTTATTTTTATTTATTTGAAAGTCAGAGTTACATTGAGAAAGGAGAGGCAGAGAGAGAGAGAGAGAGTCTTCCATCCGCTGGTTCATTCCCCAGTTGGCCGCAACGGCCAGCCAGAGCTGTGCCGATCCGAAGCCAGGAGCCAGGAGCTTTTTCTGGGTCTCCCACGTGGGTGCAGGGGCCCAAAGACTTGGCCGTCTTCTACTGCTGTCCCAGGCCACAGCAGAGAGATGGATTGGAAGTAGAGCAGCCGGGACTTGAACCGGCACCCATATGGGATGCCGGTGCTTCAGGCCAGGGCATTAACCCACTGCGCCACAGCACCGTCCCCCCGCCCCAAGGAATTGAATTTCAAACTAAGACTGGAACAGTGGTAATTGTCCTGGTGAAGAATGAAGTATTCCTGATTTTTAAGGAAAATAAATAAATTGCTGAAGTAAATGAATGGGGAAATGACCCAGGGTGCAGCAAAGCAACAGATTCAACAGTACAGCAGCCACATGCGAGAGGCGAGGGGCCATCTAGTCTGTGACCTGGGGCAACAGTTTTACCCTCAGTTTCCTCATCTCAATCAAATGAGAAGTATCCGCCTTCCAAGTGCGATGTCAGTGAAACTGGGTGTAGCAAGAGCTTACCCCAGGGCCTGCCTGGCACATGAATCAGCCCCCAGGAAAATAAGTTTTACAAGGGGACCTGGGGCAGTGTGTGCAGGTCATGGAAGAGGTTTCTTTGAATTGGTTGTGTGTTGGGTGTCATAACTGCTCCCTGTCTCCTTTCTGGAAACTTGTGAATAGCAGAAATGGTTCTCCATGTGTGGCTTCCTTTGATTTGCTACAAAAGTAAAGGAGACAGAAACTTCAAGACACAAGAGACAGAGTGGCTCTCCCTCATCCACAGCAGCTGTGGTAGGTAGTTACAGACTGAACTGCTGAAACAGAGACCAAGTAGTTGAAATAAGATAGGAGTTACTTCTCTTTGAGTTCGCACTCCGGCTGGCCAAACCTGGCAGGGAGCTCTCGCCGCTTCCGTCTTGGGTCCTTGTTTCCATTGTGTTGATGCAGCTGAGTTTTGCACAAAGCTAAGTCACTTCTAGCACAGTCCTGTCTTCAGGGAGGGAGAACACATGAGAGTGGAGGACAAGCGGTTTTAAGAACATGATAGAGAAGTTCCATCAGCCGTGTCCTGTTGGCCAGAACTGAGTCATACGTCCATCCCCAGCTGCAAGGGAAGCTGAGCGGAAGAGGGGAGAATGGGTGACGGACAGCAGTTGGCAGTCGTGGCCTCTGCCGTGTTTAGTGAGCCATTACCCACACTCTGGGCCTCTGGAAGTCTGGACCCTTTCATGATGGTTCTACAGTGGCCCATAGGATAGGAAAGAATGAAAGGGCCACAGGACATCTCTGCGGGAAAAGATAGGATTCCTTTATAAAATGTCATTTGGGCCAGGTTTCCCCTTCCTAAATTCTCAACATCCAAGTCATGAACCAAACTGACTTGGTGACCTTTACAAGGTGAGTCCTTCACATCCAAACCCTTGCTTCTCACCACAATCAAGAATGTGATTGATCTGAGTGCAAGGAATATTTCTGTTTGTGTCTGTGTGTGTATAGATGTGTGAGTACATGGTGTAGTTGGTGACAGAAAATTATTTCCTATTTGGAGTGGTAGTCAGAAAAGTTTGAAGCCAGCACTCCGATAGATCCATTCAATAGTGTAATTCCCAGTCTGAGAATGATTTCTCACAGGAGATTTGAAGATTGCGTGTGGTCTTCCCATCATGCAATTTTGAGGAAAGGCAGGCAGCTCTTGATATAACGCAATAGCTGTAGCTTGGTAAATTCACCCTTTTTTATCCAAAGGAGAAGAGGGAATCACTAATGGTACGCTGCAGGCCTGGGGCTTCTATTCATTAGGTCCCATTTCTTACAGTAATACGTTGTCATTGGGAGATCTCGCCAGTGAAGCAGGGAGTAGTGGCAGGCAAGGCCCTGTGCCACCTGGTCAGCTCCCCATTGGAGGAAGATGAGAGGAGGAGATGGGGAGGGGTCTGTGCCTCTGAAAGTGATGAAGTCAGGAACGCAGCACGGGGCGTTGACCATGCAGCCAGACAGTGCTTCTCCCTCCCACTTTGGATAGTTGTGTCAGCCGGGATCCAGTATTAATAGCTTAATACAGCAAAGGTCCATGTCCATCTTGGGTTTAGCTTGGGGGCTCTGCACTGTTAATGTGAAAACCTTAGCTGTCCCAATAGCCACCATTGTATAGAAGATTACCGGTCTCCAGCAAAGGGAATTGGCACTTAAACACCCTGGCCCAGGGGACATGCCAGTTTCACTCCTAACTCACCCACCTGACTACATGGCCCAAAAGTGCAATCCCACAGACAGCAGAAGGAAAGACATAGGGACGTTTGAAGACTACAGCACATGGCCTCCTGCTGTGGTCTCTGCTCAGTTCTTCTCCAGAAATCAGGAACTGCCGCTGAGACCAGGTGGACGCTCCTCCTGCTGATAGGTTGCAGTCACCTGACTCACTAGGTGGAAGTGAGCAGGTGTTTGAGCGGAAAGAGGTGATCTGGGGCAGACATTCGGCCTGCCAGTTAAGATGCCTGTTAAATACCTACGTCTCCTATCGGAGTGCCTGGGTTCAAGTCCTGGCTGCACCTCAGTTCCAGCTTCCTGCTGATGCACATCATGGGGGACAGCAGGTGTTGGCTCCCAGCGTCAGCCTGGTCGGGCCGCAGCCATTCTGTGTGTTTGAAGTCTGATCCAGTGGGTGGAAGTGCTCTCTCTCCCCGCCCTTTGTTTCTCTGCCTCTCAAATTAAGAACAAAATGGGATGGGGTGGGGCGGGGAGCCGGTATCTGACCGGGGCCCTCTAGAAGTGCTGATCCTAACAGCTTCTGAAGTTCAGTCGTGCATATTCTCTGCAGGTGATGACCAACGGTTGGGAGACTGTGGACATGACCTTGCGGCGGAACGGGCTTGGGCAGCTGGGCTTCCACGTGAAGTACGATGGGACAGTGGCTGAGGTGGAGGACTACGGGTTTGCCTGGCAGGCCGGCCTCCGGCAAGGCAGCAGGCTGGTGGAAATCTGCAAGGTGGCTGTGGTCACATTGACCCATGACCAGATGATTGACCTGCTGCGCACCTCTGTCACCGTGAAGGTGGTCATCATCCCCCCTTTTGACGACGGCACGCCCCGGAGGTAAGGGCACCTGCCCTGAAAGGAGGGAGCCGGGTGGGGGTGCACAGCTCCCAAGAGGGCTGGCCCGAGGCCTCCCTGGCACAGTCACCTGAGGCCTCGGTGGAGGGGCCAGACAAGCCCTCTCAGTGGTAGTGGCGGTGCGTGTGCGTGTGTGTGTGTGTGTGTGTGTGTGTGAGAACGCCTGTTGATTTCTTGCTGTGTTCCACTTTGAAGTCGGCTTGCGTGTACTCTCCGCTCTCATCACCACAGTCCCGTAAGGTGTAGGTACCTCGTTGCTTACATTCCCCAGGTGAAGTGCACAGTGTTAAAAGGCTCTTCTTGCCCAAGGGCACACTGTACTGCAGGTCATTTGTTCATCACAGATTAATGGAAGCCCTACTCTGTGTAAACTCCACTCGAAGTGCTGTCAGCAAAGCAGAGTGCCTGCTGCCTTGGAGTTTGTGTTCTACAGGGAGACGCAGCAATAGAGAAATGGATGTGTGGTATAGGATCACCAGGTCTGGGAAAGAAACTGAAGCAGGGTGGATGGCCGGGCTTCCGCGTGGTGGGAAGGCTGCCTCCAGGGTGGGCAGAGAAGGCTGCAGGAGGCTCCCTGGCAGAGGCAGCCGTGTGGTTTTCTAAGCCAGAGTTTGTTTGCATTTTTGAATAGAACATTTCCAACATAATTCAAGTGTAGAGCCGGCTGGTCCTCCATGTCCGCGGGGCCAACCGCAAATCAAAAATATCTGCATCTGAACGGAACGTGTCCAGAAACTCTCCTGGTCATTATTTCCTAAATAACACAATGTAGCTGCTGCGTGGCATCCACCTTGTATTAGGTATGATGGGTAATCTAGAGGTGATACAAAGTCAGGAGGATATATATAGGTTATATGCAAATGCTATGCCATTTTATATCAGAGACTTGAGCACCTGCTGATTTCATCACCCAGAGGGGTCCTAGAACCAGTCCAAGACAGAGTTCAGAGGATGCCCACTCTGAGCCCCCACCCAGTTCCACACACACCCACACGTGGCCAGTTTGTTTTGTAATCTCTGCCTCTACCACCCTCGGGCTGTGGATTATCTGGAACAGTCCCAGGGCTTAGACTGTATCTCTGCATAGTAAAGACCTTTTCTTTTTTTATTACACCAAGCAAATTTGATAATAATTGCTTAATATCATTTTTTAAAAATTTCTGTGTTTGAGGGGCCAGCACTGTGTCATAGTGGGTAAAGCTGCTGCCTGTGGTGCCAGCATCCCATATGGGCGCTGGTTCAAGTCCTGGCTGCTCCACTTCTGATCCAGCTCTCTGCTGTGGCCTGGGAGGGCAGTGGAGGATGGCCCAGGTCCTTGGGCCCCTGCACCCACGTGGGGGACCCAGAGGAAGTACCTGGCTCCTGGCTTCAGATTGGCACAGCTCTGGCCGTTGCGGCCAGTTGAGGAGTGAACCAGCAAATAGAAGACCTCTCTCTCTGTCTCTCTACCTCTCTCTCTCTGAACTCTGACTTTCAAATAAATAAATAAATCTTTTAAAAAAAATATGTATTTGAAAGACAGAGTTACAGAGAGGGAAGTAGAGAAGACCTTCCATCTGCTGGCTCACTCCCCACGTGGCTGCAATGACCCAGGCTGGGCCAAGCCAAAGCCAGGAGCCAGGTGCTTCTTCCAGGTCTCCCGCATGGGTGCAGGACCCAGGCACTTGGACCATCCTCCGCTGTTTCCCAGGTGCATTAGCAAGGAGCTGGATCAGAAATGGAGCAACTGGGACACAAACCAGTACCCATATGGGATGCCAGCATTGCAGGCAGCAGCTTTACCCACTATGCCACAGCACTGGCCCCAATATCAACTCTTCATCTGCTGTTTAGTTTTTCCCCGTTGTCTTAGCTACATGGTCTTGTTTGTTTTAAAAAGGCAGCTGTTGATTTCATCAGGAGCCTCTCAGTGCCTTGCTCGTGTCTCTTTAAGGTTCCTTGAATCAGTCAGTTTTCCTTCCCCTTTTTTTTTTTCCCTCCTGTAAGTTTATTTTAGGAAGAAATTCGGTCACGTGTCCACAGAGTTTGCCACTACCTGTGTTTAGCTGATAGCCTCCCCATGATGCCCTTTAAGCTCTTCCTTAGCTCATAAACTAGAGGTCAAGATCGAAGCTCGCTCAGGTTCAGGTTGAATGTTTTTCAAGCACAGAAGTCCTGGGTGTGCCGCTCTCGGAAGGCACCCCGTGTCTGGTGTCCCCCTGTGAGTGACATTCAGGGTGAGCAGAGGCTCGGAAGGTGGCAGCCTGCCCTGTCACTGTACATTCCCCTCAGCACTCTGCCTCGCACTGTGGTAGCCTTTGTGGTCACTGCCTGGATCCATATTTCATTACAAGTCATTCCTTCTGCATTTATTAACTGGAATTCTCATAAAAAGTAACTCTTTGGTTATTCTGAGGTACAATTTGTATGGAGAAGGCAGAGTAAATGCAGTTTCCAGACTAATGAATGGACACTCTAGCAGCCTCCCGAGGTGACGGATGTCAGAGAGCAAGAGATCACGGTGTTCCCGCCAGGAGGCAGGCAGGCTGCGCAGTGAGGTTGCCTCTGTTTGAATCCCTGCCCTTCCCCCTGCTAACAGAGACCCTGTGCAAGTGGCCATATCATCCTGTGCCTCAGTTTCACAAAATGAGGAACATAATAGCTCTTTTCCACAAAGGTGTTTATGGTGTCGAAGGAAGTAAGACTTGTAAACACCCAGAACTGTACTTGGCCCCCAGGAGGTGCTGTGGTAAAAGTATGTGACGTAACACTGGGCAGGGGCTCGGGGAAGACTTGAAGGTGAGAACAAAGGCTTCTGATGGCTGACAGGCCAGGAGGAGGGCCTGTGCGGCTGGCGCGTCTAAGCCAGGAGAAGGGCACGGTGAGGGGACCCTGAGTGCCATATTCCCACGGGACCTCGCAGACTCCCGCCAGGGCTGGTGCGATCCTCACTTTACAGGTGAGAAAACCAAGGCCTGGAGCGGATGCACAGCCTGCAGGTGGTGAAGTGAAGCTCAGATCCGTTCTTCTCTAGAAGCCCTCGAGAGCTGTGGACATGCGAGTGGGGTTGCTCCATTCCCACCTTCCTACGTCGCGCTTGCTCTGAATTGATAGAGGGTCATCCTGAGCAGGCCTAAACCCTGAAGCCAAGGGCTTGGCCACCCCTACCCACAGGCCTGTCCCTCAGCCTCAGGACTCCATCAAGCCCCAGGTGTCCCCTGCCCTCATCCCTCTTCTTTTCCCTTCTTCTGCCTCTGCTTGGGACCAATGCTGGCCACACCCACTGAGATCAGTGCAAGGGCAAGTGAAGCCAAGGGAACCCCATAGGCAAGTTCCCCAGTGGGTGTGCACCTCGGGTGAGGACCCAGCCTCTCCACACACACACTCGCCTGTCACATGACTCTGCAACCCTGTGAGTAGAGAGGCTGAGAAGCCCTCCTCCCTGGATAAGCCGGGAGAACTGAAACAAAATTCAGCATTCTGGCCGGCGCCGTGGCTCAATAGGCTAATCCTCCGCCTAGCGGCGCCGGCACACCAGGTTCTAGTCCCAGTCGAGGCGCCAGATTCTGTCCTGGTTGCCCTTTTTCCAGGCCAGCTCTCTGCTATGGCCCAGGAGTGCAGTGGAGGATGGCCCAAGTGCTTGGGCCCTGCACCTCATGGAAGACCAGGATGAGCACCTGGCTCCTGCCTTAGGATCAGCGCGGAGCGCTGGCCACGGCGACCATTGGAGGGTGAACCAACGGCAAAGGAAGACGTTTCTCTCTGTCTCTCTCACTGTCCACTCTGCCTGTAAAAAAAAAAAAAAAGAAACGGTGAGAGCCGGGGGCGTCCCCTCGGACTTCTCCCGCAGTGGGCCAGGCAGAGGCCACCCTCAGTATCCATGTGGGAGGAAATCGGGCCGTCCAGGTGAGAGAGCACCAACAGCTGTTGGACCCAGGCCAAGGAGGCTGCGGCCAGACAGACAGGTTCTGCTCCCTGTGCTGGGCAAAGGGAAGGCTGTCGTGAGGCCTCCTCTACTAGGCTGCCACCCAGACAGGATCTCCCGTTGGCAGCAGCAGGTGTGCTGTCGGGACTTGGGTGGCTTTTGTTCTTCAAAGACTGCGATCTCGAACTGACCTCATTTGCAGAGCTGATAACCCCAGCTCTGCAGGCTGTCACTCTACTCCCAGCCGCGGGTCCGATTGTCATGATGAGCCCTGAAGGGAGCAGATGATGTGCAGGTACTGTCACTGCCCCCTGCGTGGTGTGCGTCTAGACACCCCCTCCTCAGACCCTGAGTCACCTACAAGGGGCCTTGCTCTACCCCCCGGCCACATGGCTAGAGTTCCTGAGTGAGCCCTGCGCCTCCACGCCATGGCCAAGCTGGGCGGGGTGCTCAGGGGAGGGACACCCTTGAGCATCTGATAAGACGCAGCAGCATGACCTTGGACGCTTGCGCAGGCTCAAGAGGGTTGCTCTCACGTCTGTTAGTGCCTGGTGGACAGGGCAATCCTGGGATGTTTCATCCACAGTGCATCTAAGGCCTGGTGAGGGGGCTTGGAAATCCCTCCCACAAGCAAGTGAAGAGCTAAGGCAGGAGTCCCCTGGCTCCAGAAACTAGACTGTCCGAATCAAGGAAAAGGGGACGGTGGGGAGAAACGGTGAGAGCCGGGGGCGTCCCCTCGGACTTCTCCTGCAGTGGGCCAGGCAGAGGCCACCCTCAGTATCCATGTGGGAGGAAATCGGGCCGTCCAGGTGAGAGAGCACCAACAGCTGTTGGAAGATGAGACTGATCTGCACGATGCTGTTGGGGATATAGCGTGTTATTTGTTGTAATTTTGTATTGTTTTATGTAATGCTTATCTGCCTAGGATATTTCTAAAAGAACATGTAAGCAACCAGAGCAGAAGTTGCTTCTGGGAGTAGGGACGGGGCAGGGACTTCCTTTCCTAACACTTCAGTCTCTTTAAACCAGCAAACGCCAAATCAGTGAAATGGGGCTTCTCGAGCGCTGGGTGTCACATCATCACAGGCAGCTTAGTGAGAGGCAGATTCCCGGACGGGCCCTGCTCATGAGATTCTGGGTCCAGTGACTGCAGGTGGAACCCAGGGATCTACATTCTTTTCTGAATATTCAGGGCGATTTGGAGGCTGGCGATTTTCAAATCAGCAGAAAAAGCTGGAGGGGAGGAGCTTTCCCAGAGCCCCAGGAGGGTGAGGTTTGGATTCAGTAATTGGGGGGCAGCTTCATCTTCAGGATTGGGGGGCGATGCAGGTGGGCAGTCCCCCGGATCAGCTGGTGAAGGCCGCAGCTCTTGTTGGGTAAGCCTGGTGTGTACCTGACTCTCGGCTCATACTCATTGAGTGCCCACAGCCACCCCCACTGAGTGTTCGCCTCTGAGGTCATACCCAGGGGCTCTTGGCCCAAGGTGAAATGGTCAGTAACTGGGGGAGAATTCAGGAATCCCGTAACACTACCCCACTGGCTCCCAAACCACTGTACAGTGGGCCAGCTTGCATGGTGGTTCAGGCTGGGGACTTTGGAGTCAACTTGAACGCAGTTAAATCCCAGGTTCTGCCTCTGACTGGTTCTGTGACCTTGGATGGGTTACTTAACTTCTCTGATCTCTGAAATGTGATGTTCTCATCGGGACTGAGTACCAGCAACAGAATCCACTCACACACGGTGAGGCTCAGGAGTCTTCTCAGCTTATCTGCCTGACGAGACCAGTACACAGGGAAAGATACAAGCAAGGCTGTGTCCTCAGGGGTCCCCCTCTGTCACCTCTCTTCCTTTTCCCTGTTGCTGCCGTTCTCAGTATCCCCCTTCGTGAGGACAAAGATGACCCTCCCACCCCACATACACACAGAGAGCTCAGCTGCCCTGCTGATAGATCTTCCCCCCAGTCATCCCTGGAACCATTTGGAGTCGTTGACTCCAGTTGGCCCTGCTTGGGGCACGTGACTGTCCTGCGCTAGTCATTGTGTCAAGGGGAGTACAGTTTCTGATCGGCCAGGCCTGAGTCACGTGCTCTTACCTGGAGCCAAGAAAGCAGGGTGAGCCGCACCCAGAGCACAAACCCTATAATCAGAATGGCCTGTAGAAGGCAGCCAGGCATGACGGGCAGGTGTGCCCTGCCTGGGGTGATGGTGGTGAAGCCCTCCACCTCTGCAGGGCCTGGCGGATTTAGGGCTCTGTTAGAAATTCCTGTTGTCACTGTTCCTTACCCATTGCCTGATGAGGCATCCACACCCACGAGTGCGGATTGTCAGCTCCGACCATGATCCTGCGCAGGGGCATGGGGCAGCAGTCTCAGGTGCCGGCAGAACACATCCTTGCGTCACCTTTGGATGGCCCCTTAGCAGCTGGGTCCTGGGCCCAGAGCTTCTGAGCCACCACGGCCGTCCACCAGATGTTTAGCCAAGTGGCCACCAGAACTCTCGGGACTCCAGAGAACTCAGGAGAGCTCAGAGGATCTGGGCGTGAGAGCTTCCAGGCTGAGCGCTCTGCAGAGCTCGCGCTGTCAGCTGCTGGGGAGTGGATTTCCTGAGCACGGCCCCCTCCTCGCGCTCAGAGCCCCTCCGTGCTGCACTGCGGCAGCGGCGGCGAGTGCCGGCCCAGCCCTCGGATCTCCCCACCTCGAGCCAGGCCCACTGCGGAGCGTGTGCCAGCCTGGTCTGGGGGGAGTCGCAGGCCGCTCTGCAGCTATTTCAAGGTTCTGGATTTCGTGGCTTTTTTTTTTCTCCTAACCACCCTGCAAAGTAGGTCACCTGCTCCTCTTCCAGTTGCCTTTTGAGATTCTGTGGAACAAGGCAGATACTGTCCTTTGATTCTGAGGGCATCCGCCTTCTAGCCCCAAATACTGCTGGGGTGGGGGTAGGACCAAGCCTGTCCGTGGAGGGCCCTGGGAGACTTGAGGCCTGGGCCTGGGAGAAAGGAGAAGACGGCCGCAAAGTGAGAGCAGATGGGTATGGACGGGAGGGAGGGAGGGAGAGTAGAAAGGGCCTAGCAGTCCGAGCCTCTGGAGGGGCCTCCTGGCTGAGGACTTGGCGCTGGTTGGTTTCAAGCCTTAATTCAGCGGGTGTCCACCCAGCCTTCGAAAGAGGCCGTCGTGTTTGACTTTGGCCAGGAAAACCCAGGCCAGGGTAAGGAGGCAGCAGGCACACGGGCCGCTGAGCTGGGCCTTCCTGGATCACAAAGGCTTTTCTTCCCAGGGGCTGGCCGGAGACCTATGACATGAATACCTCGGAGCCCAAGACCGAGCCAGAAAGCATCCTCCCGGGGGGCCGGCCCCCCTACCGCAGCAATGCTCCCTGGCAGTGGAGCGGGCCTGCATCCCACAACTCTCTCCCGGCCTCCAAGTGGGCTGCTCCGGCCACCCCCGGCCATGCCCAGTCCCTGAGCCGGCCCCCGAAGCAGACCCCCATGGTCCCCTTCCGGGAGTCGCAGCCACTGCACAGCAAGAGGTAAGGAACCCCCAGGGGCATCAGCCCCAGCCCCATCTCCTGCCTGCATGCCTGCCCGCCTGCCCACACTCATCATCAGTCCTTCCTTCCCCCGCCCCCACCAGTATCCCCTGTTCTCTTCCTGCTCATCTTTGTGATGTCTCCTCCCTCCCTCTCCCTGCGGCTTTCACGTGGTCCTCTGGTGTAGGGGCCAGGGCTGGGGAGCTCTGATGCTAGAAACCCACCATACCAAGCATGCGATTAACACTGGTTTCTGATAAGCACAGAAGTTAAGGCAGTGACTTTCTCTTGGGGGAGGCAGGGAAATGGGAAAGGGAGAAGTCCACAGATGCGTGTCCCTGCCTTCACTCCTGTCCTCAGGTCACGTGCTGGCTTCAGGACTTTGTAGTTTTATCATGACGTTTATAATTTACAGGCACTTTTTGAATATATGATATACTGAAAAATAAGGTGTTCTTACAAAATGAAAGAATCCAGCTTGGAGCATCGCGTGCCAGGAGAGGAGCAAGGAGGGCCTCTGGCAGCACCCCCAGCCGGGCTGCATAAGTCCAGGGGTGGGGACGGCAGTGGAACTGAGACGTGAAAGCAGGGAGTAGCCCGGCTTCTGCCACCCTTTGCTCGGCATCCACCTGTCCGTCCCGCTGAGTGCGTGGCAGGGAGGTGGGATGTGGCTGGGCCAAAGGGAGAGGTCTCTGTCTGGAGTGCCCTCCTCATCACCTCCTGCCTGCTTCCTCTCATTCCAGGCCTGTCAGCTTCCCAGAGACCCCTTACACAGCATCACCAGCAGGGGCCGACAGAGTCCCTCCCTACCGACAGCCTTCTGGGAGCTTCTCCACCCCCAGCTCGGCCACCTACACAAGATACAAGCCATCGCCAGAAAGGTCAGAATCTCTTCGTTCTTTTTTTAACTAAAGAACCTGATCATTCTTTATCAGGAAATGCACACCTGCACAAATGTATTTCCCATGTTATGGGATTTCTGTTTATCAACCCACAGGGTGCTTACTTATCTCATGTTGAAATTTAGGCCTGGGGCAGGCCATTAAGTCACTGGTTAGGACACCAGGTCCCACATGGAAGTGCCTGGGTCTGATTCCCACACCTGGCTCCTGACTCCAGCCTCCTGCTAATGCAGACCCTGGGAAGCAATGGTGATGGCTCAAGTCATTGGGTTCCTGCCACCCATGTGGGAGACCTGGGTTGAATTCCTGGCTTCCTACTTCATTCCTGCCATTGTAGACATTTAGGGAGTGAACCAGCAGATGGGAGCTCTCTCTCTCCCTGCTGCTTAAATTTTTAGGGTTAAGCTAGACTGGGCAGGACCCACCATTGGCTTTCCTTGCAATAGAATTTTGATTGCATTTTTTGAAACCTGTATCAGTTGTTCAAGCAAGCCCATTCCCACCCAGCATGGCCACTCGTGTAACTCTTCTTCCCCACCCCCTAAGACCAGGCCATCAGTATTATCCAATTTTTTTTTAAAGATTTATTTTATTTATTTGAAAGTCAGAGTTACAGAGAGAGAGAGAGAGAGAGAGAGGAGAGATAGAACTTCCATCTGCTGGTTCACTCACCCAGTGGCCGCAATGGCCAGAGCTGGGCCAGGCTGAAGCCAGGAGCTTCATTCAGGTCTCCCATGTGGGTGGCAGGGGCCCAAGCACTTGGTCTATCCTCCACTGCTCTCCCTGGTGCATTACCAGGAATCTGGATTGGAAGCGGAACAGCCAGGACTCCAACCAGCAGTGCAGGTGGTGGCTGAACCCGTTACTCCACAACACCGACCCCTGCCCAGTGTTTGTGATCTTTCATGCTTCATTTCCTGCCCTCTTGGATCCACCCTTGACCCAAAACATGAACAGTCTTCACAAACCCTCCTGGCTCCCCAGTGCCTCGGTATAAACCCAGACTCTACAGCTTGAAATTCAAAGCCCTGCAGGATCTGGTCCAAACGAGTTCTGTTCCCCAGCTGCCTTCAACCCAGTGTCCTGTGTCCTGCTCCCCCAGGTCCCTGCCATTGCCCATTCTCAAGGCAGACTCGTGGGCCCCATCCTGGCTGCTGCTTTTCCTTTTTCCCCCTGCTGTGGAACATCCATTCAGCCTCCAACATTGCCACCCACCACCTCCTCTTTCCCACATCCCTACCCCAGCCACCTCTGGAGGCCCCACCTCCATCTCGCCCTCCACTCAGCAACCTGTCCCCTGTTCCAAACTTTCCTGTTGTTCAGAACCCTCAAGACATAGACTTGACCCCTCACTGTGGCCCCCAAGGCCCCTGGCACCTTGTGAGTCTTGTGCAATACCATATGCAGGCCCACTGGCCAGGTTCCTGGGCTGTCTGCATTTCAGAGCCCCCACTTACGTTCTGTTCTCAGCCTGGAGATTCTTCACACTCCTCACCCTGCCCCTGCCCCATCCTCCTGCCAGCTGGAGCTCCAGTGACTCATGCCTGTGTGTGGAGTGTTGAGAGAGAGAGAGACAAGAGAGAGAGAGAGAGACAGAGACTCCCCAAGATCTAGGAGATTTCTGATTTGGCCCTGTATTCCCAGTGTGCATCAAGGATCTGGCGCATGGCAGGTCCTTGGTCTGTGTTTGATAAAAGAATACAATGGGTTTGTTTAAATAAAATCACCTGGCTTGAGACCACAGAGTCCACTAAACTAGTGGTTCTCAGTTTTTTATTGTGCATCAGAATCATGCAGAGAAGGACTGGTTAAGATGCGATTTCCTGGGCCTTGGCTGGTAGATCTGGGTGGAACATGCCACACGGGTGCTGCTCTGAGAGCCACCACCCTAAGCCATTCTTGGATTCTCAGCCTCTGTTCTAAAATCGAGGAAGCTTACCTGTGATATCTTCTAGTGGCCACCATGCAGCTTTCATTCAGCGCGAGGTTCCAGTTGCCTCCTGGGGGCCAGGTGCCCAGACGAGTACTTGAGATACGTTGTAAGCAGGGGCTCTGCAGAGTCAACACTTGCTGACTGTAGCAGAGAGAGGTCCTTAGAATCCATGTGCTTGTGGGTGAGGAAACACAGCCCAGCCCTGGAGGTCTAGGTTGGCTGCCCAGCAGAGGTGGCGTTTGAACAGAGCTTCGAGAGATTAGGTAGGAGGAGTTTTCTGCAGAGAAGAGAGAGGGTCGTTCCAGACAGAGCACAGGCCACAGGCGTGAGTAAGCAGGATGCTGTGAAACGGAGAAGGAAGAGCAGAGAGGAATGCGCTGGGTGTGGAGTGTGGGGCAGACCTAGGAATGGAGCTGGCACAGAGCCGTTAGTCCCTCACAGGTGGTGAGGTGACTTCTCATCGCTCTTGGGAGCACTTTGCTTTTTCTCTTTTATAATTTTTTAAGTCTTTATGTTAAAACAATCACAGATTCAAAGCAAATTGCAAAGTGGTGTATAGACAGTTCCTGAGCACCCTTCGTCTATCACATGTCCCGTTATTAGCATCCTGCATGATTCTGATACAGTAACAAAACAAGACATTGACATTGGTACAAGCCATGGAACTTACTCAGAAGTCACCAGTTCTGTATACACCTGTGTGTGTGTGTGTGTGTGTGTGTGTGGCTCTGTGCGTTTTCTTCGCAGGTGTTGTCTTACGTAACCATCATCACCAGCCCCTCGTGCCACCCCTTTCTAGCCACACCCATCCCTCCCCCCCCCATTCCAACCCCCAGCAACCATGAGCACGTCTTTAATTTTCACTACTTCCTGACCATCACATGAAAGGAATCACACAGTTTGTATGCTTTGGGATTTCTGTTTCACTCAGCATGATATCCTTGAGGGTAGCTGAAGTCCTTGTGTGTGTTAGTAGTTGATCCCTTATTACTGCAGAATTGTATCCATGGTATGGATGTGCTACTGTTCAGCCTCCCATCCGGTGGAAGACTTCTGAGTAGTTCCTGGGTTTGGGACATCACGTGTGTTCATCTCCTGAGCATGAACATTCAGGCCTCCAGGTTTCTGCACGCAAACCGGTTTTTGTTTCTCTGGGATAAATGCCCAAGAATACAATTGTTCACCACGTGGTAGTCTGTTTTGCACCAGTAGTGTATGAACGGTTCCGGTTTCTCCACATCCTTGCCACCATTTGGTGTTGTCACTGATTTTTATTTTATCCGTTCTGATAGCGATATCACATTGTGGTTAATGATTTGAATTTCTCTGATGGGTAATGGTATTGAGTGTCTTTTCACGTGCTTATTTGCCAGTGCTGTGTTTTCCCCAGTGAAATGTCACTGCTTGTTTTTTGCCCATTTTTAATTGAATTAAATCCTTTTCAGTGTTGGCAGGTTCTTTGTATGTTCTGGATACAGTCCCTTGTCAGATATGTGATTTGTAGCTGTTTTCTCCTGGTCAGTAGTTTGTCTACTCATCTTTCATAGAACAAAAGTTTTTAGTTTTGCTGAAGTCCAAATTAATCTTTTTTTTTTTTCTTTTTGAAGAGCTGTGTTTTTGGTGTTGTTTAAACACTCATCCTGGTTCCTGTTTTCTCACATTTATTAATAGAAGTTTTGCTGATTTACATTTAAGGCAATGATCTATTTGAAATTTTTTTCAGTTAATATTTCTAAGATTTATTTATTTATTTATTTGAAAGATTAACAGGAAGAAGGAGATCCATCCAGGTCTCCCTTGTGGGTGGCAGGGACCATTTTCCACTGCTTTCCTTGGAACTTTAACAGGGAGCTGGATCAGAAGCAGAGCATCTGAGACAAACCAGTGATCTGATATGGGATGCCAGCATTACAAGCTGCAGCTTAACTGCTGAGCCATGACTCTGGCCCCTAAGTTAACTTTTTTTTAAGATTTATTTATTAAGGGCCGGCACTGTGGCATACTAGGTTAAACCTCTGCTGCGGCACCAGCATCCCATATGGGTGCCAGTTTGAGTTCTGGCTACTCCACTTCTGATCCAGCTCCCTGGTAATGACCTGGAAAAGCAGTGGAAGACGGCCTAAGTGCTTGGGCCTCTGCACCCATGTGAAAGGCGTGAATGAAGTTCCTGGCTCCTGGCTTCAGATCGGCCCAGCTCTGGTCATTGTGGCTATTTGGGGTGTGAACCAGCAGATGGAATTCCTTTCTCTTTCTGTCTCCCTCTGTCTGTAACTCTGCCTCTCAAATAAATAAATAAATCTTTTAAGAGTGGGAGATTGCTATTCCACTGCTGATTCACTCCCCAGATGGCTGCACTGGCTGGGACTAGGCCAGGCCAAAGCCAGGAACCTAGAACTCCATCTGGGTCTGCCACATAGGTGACAAAGGCCCAAGCACCTGGGCCATCTTCTGCTGCTTTCCCAAGTGTATCAGCAAGGAACTGGATCAGAAGTGAAGGAACCAGGTCTCAAACTGGCACTCATATGAGATGCTGTCATCACTCACCATGCCAGTCCCTGAGTTAATATTTGTATGAGGTAAGAGACTTCAGTTGAGGTTCATTTTTTTGGCTCATGGATGTCTGATTTCTTCCCGCACAGTTTGACAAGACTGTCCTGCCCCCATTTCATTACTTTTGCTTCTTAAGACAAAAACTTAATTGCGGGAGGGGGACTAATCGGGCATACTTGTTTGGATCTGTTTTGTCTCCAGTCTGTCCCCTCAGACTACATGCATGATCTCAGTGCATCGTCCCAACAACTGCATGAGATGGGTAGCTGAATCATCCCCCTTTTGACTGGGCTAAGGTCACTGCCTGGAAGCACAGAGTCAGGAGGAAGCACGGAGTTAGAATGGGAACACAGGCCTGTGGTGCAAGGGGCTGATCGTGGCCCCTGGGAACCCCTAGGAGCCCCAGGGAGCCCCTGCTCACAGCCTGCTCCGATGGCTGTGATCTGTGTTTCGGCTCGCTGGGCAGCAGCTTGGATCTAAGCATTGCCGAACGTTCTGGCACACCTCGTGCTCCAGTAGAACTGACCCTCTGAGTGGCCGCCAGCCTGTAGTAAGAGGCCTGGGAGCAGGTCAAGCTGCTGTTGACCTCAGCCCCTTTCCCCTTTACCTGCTGTGTAGTTGTCCCGACATGCGGGAACCCATGTGACCCAAGCCAGACATTCCAGTCCAGCAGGGATATTTGTCCCTTGGGGACTCCTCTGTCTATAGCTGTCTCCTCCACAGACCTGCTACTTGCCAAATTCATCAAGCTCTTAAGAGGCTAGAGCTCCTGGTAGACGGAGCCTGTGTCACAGCCCATCTTAAATGTACTGAGAACTCGTCATGACGAGTTCAAAGCCAAGCCCAGTCCTGCATCAGCCATGTCAGTGTGGGCAAGTGACTTCACCCCCTGCACCTCCATTCACTCACGTGGCTGTGTCTGAGCAGTGCTGTGAATATTCAAGGAGGAAGTCTGTATCTAGCACTTTGAACTGTGCCTGTGCTGCAAATGTACTCTCTGTCCTCAGGAGTTTGCCACCTTCTTGTGCAAGACGTGGGACCCAGCAAGCTCAGTACAGAGCGTTAGGACAAAAATGTGTGCGAGGCTCAGCCAGCCTGCCAGGCTGGACTGGGCCCCAGACATTTGCTCATCAGGCTCCCTGGCTGGCTTAGATTCTGTTTCTCCTGCTTTTCCCTGCCAGCTCCATAAATAGTGGTACATCAGGTGGGAGCATTGGACAGCAAGGGACAGAAAACCTAAGGCAAGAAGGCTTGAGGTATTAGGGGATTTCCCATCTCCCATAATAGGAAGCCAAGAAGTAGGATGGCCCGAGAGCTGGTCACTTCTGCAACTCAGGGTGTCCTCAGGGGCCTGGTTCTACTTCGGACCCCAGAATAGCTACTGTGGCCCCAGGTAAAACCAGTGACCCACAGAACACATAGGAAAAGCTTCTTTTTAAGAGTGAAGGAACTGGCTCACTTGTCCACTCCTAAACCAGCCCCTGGCAAGGTCACATTGAGTAGCTTAAACTGTCAGGATTTTCCCCAAGGAATGTGATGGAGGGGTGACGATGGAAGTAGAATCTGGGCCCCACCGGCATGGTGAAGGTAGATGATCGAGGGGTGCATCCAACATCTGCTGCATGACCTGTCCACCCTCTCACCCCGTCGTCCTGCTCCTCACAGCCACGGCTACACGCTGACTGTAGGAGGTTGAAAGAGCCAAGTGGAGCCCTCCACACAAATGAGGCTTCTGCCCATACTCACATCTGTCTTGCTGCTTTCCTCTGTGGCTCAGGGGGGAGCTCAAGCAAGCATCCCAGTAACTTGACCTTGCTGACATTAAGGGACCCCCGTCCTTTCGGCCTCCCATGTCACACTGCCGACAGATGCCTAGGGCTGCAGCTAGTTGGCTCTTCATCAGAACCACAGCCCTTTAGCTTTGTGACTTCCTCGTCCAAGAAAAGATAAAAGTAATTACTTTACGATTGCTCAGATACGATTGAAGACAGCCATTTGATCTCTTTTTCCAGGGATGTTTGGAGGCTGTATGGTGAGATGCCCTGATTTCCAATTAGCTTGACTAGAATTCAGCAGTGTTAGAAATGGCCTCAAATGGGACATATTCCGTGTCCTAGTAAGTGGTCAACCTAGATTAGAGAATGACATGATTGGATAAAGGACTGTCTGTCTTGATTGGGGACAGCAGCTGAGAGAGGGAACATAGCAAACTATGTCCAGCTAAAGGTGACCTGTCCATTACAGGTAGGTTTAGCTGCATAACAAGGAGAATAGTGATTCAGACAGGATAGTTTCTTTCTTCTGCGCTGGCAGGGACCTGGGCCCTCTCTGATGCTTCACTGTCCTTGACCTTTTGCCTCCCGGTCCACAGTGGCTGCTCAGGCTGCAGCTTGAGGAGACGATGGGGCGAGGGCACCCCCCAGCACACTTCCAAGGAGGTATCCTGGCAGGCAGGCCCACGCAGGCGCCTTCACTTTGCTATCCACTGGAACCGCAAGGGATCCTAGAAAGTGTAGTCTGTGCAGTGACCACATGACCGCCACCAGTACAGCTGGGATTCAGCTCCCCAAGGGAAAGGGGGAACGCACACTGGAGAAGCAGCCTGCCGTGTCTGCCGCCCATCCTTCCACCTTCCCCTGGCTCATCCCAGCCCCTGCTGCCGTTTTCCGTTAGTACTCAGCATTGGGCACAGACTTCCGGGAAAGCCACGCAGACACGTCAGCGCTGGGATCGGCAGCTGGGGCTCAGCCCTGTCGTAGCAGGCAGCCAGCCCGGGGTGATGTCAGCCGGTAAGGTGGAGATTGTGATCCCAGTGGCCTTTGTAAAATCCCTTAAATTACCAGAAACGGGGCCCTTGGACATGAAGAAAAGGAAGAGTTTTCTGTGTTGCTTATGTTTGGCTCTGTACTGCTTTCCCGGAGGTGTTAGAGGTCAAAGTATTTTCTCAGCAGGTGATAGGGTTGAGTTTCCACGCTGTCCAGTCTCCCTCTGAAGTACCCCCGTGCTGTCCTGGACAGGGGGAGCCTGGGGTTAGAGCTTGAGTGGGCAAGTGACCCTGGAGAAGCCAGTTAGCCTCTGTGGGATGCTGAGGGGCCCAGTGTATCCCCTCTCCTCCCTGCCGTGTATTCCCACGGTGGATGTGGCGATGTGGGCAGCCAAAGAGCTGTGAGCACTGTTCATGGAGTTTCAGAGCTCCCCAGCGTGCAGGGCCCATGTCTCGGGGGTGCTTCTGCCTGGAGTAACCAAACCGCCTGCTCAGGCACTGTGGGACTCGTTACGTCACAGAAAGGCAAGGAGGGGGATCGTGATCAAGCGCCCAGTCCCTCCTGCCTCCTCCGTGGCTTCATGCTCACCCAGGTGGCAGGAAGGCCACAGCTGGTGGCAGGGTTACATGTGAATGCAGCAGCATCTGGAATGAAAGGAGAGGAGGCTGTCTTTTCTCCTCATCTCACATGAGAGGAGGAGAAGTCCCCGGGGGACTCCTTCTGGTTCAGTCGGGTTATGCAAGATCACAAACACCGGCAAATCTCCATGACTGAAATGGACCAAGATGTGTTTCTCACCTACTTGGCATTCCATCCTTGGCAGGGGACTGCCAGGATCCAAGCTGCCCTCGCAGCCACCATCTCCAAACGACTTCCCTCACTACTCATCAAGTCACATGGTCTCACGGGGCCAGGAGGTGTGGGTGAGCCATGTGCTTGGAGACAGAGGGCCAGAAACACCTTGTGTGGGAATCTTAACTCTCACAATCCCTCGCATCTTCTTAGACAATATTAAGTCACCTGCCTGTCCTTGAACCCGCTTCTACCGTGCATGACTGGCTCTGAGTGGAGGCGTCTGAGGGATTGCTTCCGTGGCAGGGAGAATCCTCTGCCTCTGCCTCCCTCAAGTCCTGGCCCTTGCCCGTGGGGTTCGGAGCCGGCCTCTGGCAGAGTCCCAGCCTGGGGATAAAACTTCATTTCCGTCTGCTTCACAACACTGTGGGGTGGAAGACGTGTCCTCGTTTTTCAGATCGGAAAACTGCAGCTCGTTGAGCGCTTGCCCAAGGGATAGGACTGGGGTTTGAACACAGATCTACCTTATTCTGAAGCCTGAGCCCACAGCTTCTCCCCTGTAGTGCCTTCCTCCAAAAATACCAGGGTACGCCCAGAGTTCTAGCCTGACAGCCAGTTGTCACAACTCATGTGTGTCAGCCCCAGGCTAAGTGCTAGGTACAGTGAGGCATCCTTCAGTCCTGTGAGGAAGCGTGTAATGACGTCACTTCTTGACAAGTAGGGAAACTGAGGCTCAGCTGGAGAGTGACTGCCCCTGGCTGTGGCTGGGCAAAAGGCAGTGGGGAGGTTCAAAGCCCAAACTACCCAGCCCTGGGCCTCCTGTTCCTACAGATGCTCACTTACCCTGCCCTTCTCCAGAGAGACGGTGAGTCCCAGAGAAGCCTGGGGTGATAGCTGCTGACAACAGCTCCCCTCATGTCACAGGATAGGCTTGGACCCCTGAGGGGAGCCTACGTGTTGAGAAGTCGGCCCAGGTGGCCCCTGCTCCCTCCTTCGGCATGGAACCTGCCTCACTCTGCTCCCTGCCACCCCCAACTGCCTGGCCGGCTTCCCAGGCAAGACTTTCATTCCTGACCCTCAGCTAATAGCACGTTTCCAGGCTTACTCATCCAGCGTGCCAGCAGCTTTCTCTCCCAGTCCACGGCGGAGCCTCCCTTGTGTTTAAAACGCCCTGGCAAGCCGGCTTCAGACTCAGGTGGTTTAGACGAGGTCCTTCACCCTGTGCTTGTCTCCTCTTGCTCCCTGCAGGTACACGGCTGCCCCACACCCACTGCTGTCTTTTGATCCCCACTTCGGCCACGATGGGACATCCAGTGGCGACTCCTCCTCAGGTGGGCTGACCAGTCAGGAGAGCACCATGGAGCGCCAGAAGCCAGGTAGGGCCTCCCCTGGGCCAGCTGTGCCCACCTGCCTGCCTAACCCAACCAGGACTTCTTCCTTAAAGTGTGACGGGGGACAGCCCCTTCCCTCTCTTCTTTCACCCACGATTCAAGTACAAAAAAAAAAAAAAAAAAAAAAAAAGGAAAGAAAAAAAAAAAAACACCTGCAGGATCTGTTTGAGAAATGAGAGGTCAGCCAGGAGAGCAGTGGGAAGCCAAGAGCAAGAAGCTTCCCCTTGCAGGGTCCGCAGAGGGTGGCTGCCGCCACTACCGAGTCCATGGTGGGTCCGGCTGCATGGCGTGGGACACAGTTGACAAGGGTGAAAAGTGGTGCTGTAAGGGCCACTGTGCTCTGTGACTTCCCAGTATATAAACCCTCCTGCATTGTTCTTCAGCTTTTACAGACACAGAGCGTGTGTTGACAAGAGAGCCCAAATTCTGAGTGTACAGCCCTGATGACACGGGGCAATGTGGACACACCCAGGGCAAGACACAGAGTGGGGCAGCCTCCCAGAGCCCCCGTGTGCTGCCCAGTCAGTGCCCCCAGGGACCACCCCCATCCTGCTTCTCACTTCATTTTGCCTGTTTTTGAATTTTATAGTTTGTTGAACATACTATCTGCATAATGTGTGTGTGTGTGTGTGTGTGTGTCTTGCACAATATTCTGTTTGTGAGAGACAGCCCGTGACTGTAGCAATGCAGTTTGGAGCAGGTTGCCACTGTCTGGATGAACCACAGTGCTACTTCCTAGCGTTGATGGACGTCTGGGTTGTTTCTAGTTTGGGGCTAGAGTAGGGCTGGTGGGAACGTTCCTAACCCACCTTTTATGAACGTGTGCTCCTGCTTCTGTAGAGTCAGCTCCTAGGAGCAGGATTGCGGGGTTATATGTTTTAACTTCAGAAGAAACTACCAGACTGTCTCCTGAAGTGACAAAGCATTGTGCAACATACGCGAGTTCGAGTAGCTCCGTGTCCTGACTGGCATTTCTGTTCCAGCCGCACTGCTGGGCGTGGAGTGGTATCACATTGTGTTCTTAATTTGTGTTTTTCTGATAGCTTATGGGATTGATGGTCTTCTCGTGTTTTGTCTCCTCTGTAATTATCCATGTGCGTGGACTGCCTGAGATGGGCAATTTAGCATTTTGCATAACGAACTTGTAGCCCCTTGGAAGTGTGAGTGCCACAGGTGCATGGGTAGGTTGGGTTCAGGAGGAAGAAAGCAAATGAAGTGGTGGAGGGGAGAGAGAGGAGGAGTGTCTTCTAGGGGCTGCTTGAGTATTTTGAAGCAGCTGAGAGGGGTGACACCAAGGGCACTGTGGAGCAGGAATGAGCTTGCATGCCCCAGAAGCAGTGGCCTGGAGAACTCCTGGGCACCCTGGCCCACGGTTCTCTCCAACTAGGGACAGTGGCGCTCCCCACACCGCTGTCCTCCGCAGATGCGGTCTACTCCTCTTCTCCGCATGCGTGGTCCCGCCTCTCTCCTCCGGATGCATGGTCCTGCCTCTCTTCTACGCATGCGTGATCCCGCCTCTCCTACGCATGCGTGGTCCCGCATGGTGCTGTGCGCAAGGCTGTGTTCTTTGCTCCGAGACAGACAGATCTGGATCTTTGTTCTTTTTTCTCCACCCAGTTCAGAAAAAGACATCGCCTGGGAGGAGGCATTGCAGAGAAAGGGGAGGGCTGCTGAAAGAGGCTGAGGTAGCAGTGCAGCTGTTACGTTGGAGGAGCAGTGGGGAGGCCGTGTGGCCAGAGAATGGTGGGCGGTGACGTCCGGGGAGTGATGGGAATGGAGCAGGTGGGGCTCCGGGGGCCACGTTGAAGTCCTGTGCCCTTTGAGTGGAATGGGAGCCATGGGGTTCAGTGTTCTGAGCAGAGGACAGGTGGGAGCCGACTCCAGGGCTCACAGGGTCCTTGGTGGCTACAGCTTCCTGCAGGGTAGAGTAGGGGGCAGGACCAGGGGTGACGGCACAGGACGGGAGAGAAGAGCGATTCTGGGTCTGGTGTTTTAAAGGCAGGGTTGGCTGAATTTCCTGATGCCTGGAGATGGGCGTGAGAGAAGAGTCAGGGACAGTAGCATGGTTTTGGCCTGAGCGGAGCAGCTGGTAACTGAGGAGAAGAGACTGAAAGGTGTGGATTTCGGGGAAGACAAGGTGTTTGGCTTTGGTCATGCTAGGTGGGAGGTGCCCAGTAGATGCCAAGGAGAGGTGCTGTGAGGCAGCTAAGTCCACATGCGCAATTTTCTTTATGCACGATGGTCCAGGATGGACCTTTATCCAGAGGTTCAAGATGAAGGCAGAGATGGGAGCTGTCACAGGTGCCATTTAAGGGTGGATGTGACTGCCATCCGCTTGGCTTTGTGTAGAAGTGCGGCTTCCTGGCATGATCGGGCCACCTCCTGGGGACCGGTGCCTGTTGGACGTTTGGGATGCTCCAAAGCACAAAACTGTCGAGACATAGAGGAGGCGTAGGAAGGGTCAGTGTCCAGGCCTTCTGTAACCCTGGGTCCCAAATGAAAGCCGCACAGGCAGTGACACCAGTCACTGAGTCCCGGCTGCTCGCTGCAGTGTCCCAGAGTATCCTGCCTGACCCCCATCTTCCCCAGCAGGAGAGTGTACCCCAGGGCTCCCTGGGGCCACACTGGAAGCAGCAGGGGTGTCGTTGTGGTTGTGAGCTCAGGCTCCCACAGGCCTGGTGGGAAGTCCTGAGTTGGCCATGTGACCTTGACAGTGACCTCATCTCTCCCAGCCTCAGTGGACGTCCTAGGTGCCATCCTTCCAGAGCAGTTGGGGGGGGGGGGGTGCAGTCAGCACAGGGCAGCCCAGCATTAGAACAAGGACGGCTGCCTATCAAGCACTCCGTCTCAGTCACTGCCAGTTTTGTCACTGTTGGGGAAGCCCGGGGCGGGTGCAGGCCTCGAGAGCATGGGCTCTGGAGCCAGGTGCACCTGTGCTCTACTCCCTGGCTGACCCTTTCTGACGGTGTGACCTTGGACCAGTTACTTAGCCTCTGTGAGTCATGATGTTCTCCGTCCACTGGAGATGGTCCTAATACTCTCATCACCATAGCACGAGGAGGTAATGCATGCAAAGCACTCACAGCAGTGCCTGACACAGAACCCATGCAGAACAGTAAGTATCCTTGTTTCACATACCATTCTGATGAAGAGCCTGGGGCCAGGCCACCTGGGTTCAGAGCCTCTGTTAGTGCATTCACAGTTTTGATGATATTAACTAAATGCCCTCACAGGAATTGGTCAGGTGCTTAGTTTAGACGCATTGTCCTGGGAGCTCGGGCCAGTTCACACCCACAGCAGCCACCAGTTTTCAACCTGCTTTATCTTTGAAGCAGCAATTCCACATGCAGAGGCCACTGCAAACATGGTAATAAGGTCAAATGTAAGATAAGCTGAGTCCCTACTGGTACAAACTGGTAAATAGTTGGTCTGCATTCACTTGATGGCATTATATGCAACTGTTGAAAACAGAATAACTTCATGTTCTGTTATGTGGGTCGTGTGGCAAAGATAAAGTGAAAACAAATGTAAATATATCACGTGGTGAAAAGTTGTAGGACAATGTTTATTGTTCCATTTTTGCTTTTAAAAAGTTAGGTGTATATATAGGGGCTGACATTGTGGTATAGCAAGTTAAACCACCGCCTGCAATGTCAGCATCCCATGTAATAAGCACCGATTCAGGTCCTGGCTGCTTCGCTTCCAACCCAGCTCCCTGCTAATGCACATGGGAAGACAGAAGAAGATGGCTGAAGTACCTGGACCCCTGCCACCCTTGTGGGAGACTCAGATGGAGTTCCAGGTTCCTGGCTTTGGCCTGGCCCAGCCCCAGCTATTGCAGCCATTCGGGGAGAGAACCAGTGGAAAATCTCTCTCCCTCTCTTTCTCTCTCTCTCTCTCTCTTTCTCTCTCTCTTTCTCTCTCTCTTTTTCCCTCCCCCTCCCCCCTCCTCCTCCCCTTCTCCCTCCCCCTCTCCCTCCCTCTCTGCTTCTCCCTCTCTGTTAACCGTGCCTTTCAAATAAAGAAATAAATCTTTTTTAAAAAGTTAAGTACATTTAGGCTGGCGCTGCAGCTCACTAGGATAATCCTCCGCCTGCGGCACTGGTACCCTGGGTTCTAGTCCCTGTTGGGGCGCTGGATTCTGTCCCAGTTGCTCCTCTTCCAGTCCAGCTCTCTGCTGTGGCCCGGGAAGGCAGTGGAGGATGGCCCAGGTCCTTGGGCTCCTGCACCCCATGGGAGACCAGGAGGAAGCACCTGGCTCCTGGCCTTGCATCGGCACAGCGCGCCAGCTGAAGCGGCCGTTTGGGGGGTGAACCACGGAAGGAAGACCTTTCTCTCTCTCTGTCTCTCTCTCTCACTGTCTAACTCTGCCTGTCAAAAAAAAAAAAAAGTACATTTAAACACCAGAGGATTACTTCCTTGCATATGTGAAGAATGTGCTAACCAATAAGATAAAGGAATGAATAGGCAGTTTACAAAGGAGAAAATCAGATGGCCAGTAAGTATGAAAGTGTGCTGCCTCTTGTTTGGGCATGATAATGGAGGATTGTTGCCTGGGACGTAGGAAATACTCATTAACTGTTCCCTGTTACGTCCCAAGACGTAAGTATATGGGATCATGCTCTGGGTGAGCAGACAGACTGACAGAGGGGTGGGGCTGTCCGGCCATATTTAGGGCCAGATTCCCCAGCCTCCAGGCTGCATCACCCTAACCGCTGGTGTCTCCTGTTTTCCTACAGAGCCTTTGTGGCATGTGCCAGCCCAGGCACGGCTCTCAGCCATGGTTGGAAGCAGCGGGAACAAGCACGCCTCCAGGCAGGATGCAGCAGGCAAAGATTCCCCTAACAGACATTCCAAAGTGAGTCTGGGCCCTCCCCGCCCCACCCAAGGAGCAAGGCCTGCAGGAGCTGGTAGCTTCACCTGGGCACCTGACTGCTGTGAGCTGGGCGGCCAGCCCTGGGTGTGGCCTCTGAACACCACCCGAGAATGCGCACTCCACGTTGGCCGTCTTCCACTTTGTAGAGCGGCTAGGACCAACCAGCTTCACATCCTGGCACCAGTCCTCACCGGCCAGGTCATCTTGAGCAAATGCCTTTACCTTCTCAGGCCTCAGTTTCCTCATTATTCCATCAGTCATGGTGGATTAACTGCTGTAACAGACAGCCCTTGAATCTCAGGGACCCGTGTAATAGAAGTTTATTTCCCTCTCATAATAACGTAATGCAGCATTGCACATGGTGAGGCAGGAATCCGGGCTCCCTACGTCTTGTGGCTTTGCTGTCCCACAGGGCCTCTGAACCCTGTGCTGGGGCCCTGCCTCTTTCCAGTGTAGGAGGTGGGAGAGAGAGGAGATCATGGGGGAGGCAGGAGTCGCTTCCACTTACATGTTAGCCAGGGCTCCATCATGTGGCCACACCTGACTGCACAGGAGGCTGGGAGATGTAGTCTCGTGTGTCCAGCAGGAGGAGATCATTTCGGAGAGCTCCTGGCATCCATTCACTCAGTAGGCCTTTGGTGAGCGCTCCTGACATGTGGAGCACTAGGACTCCGAAGACGACAGGTTGAGCCCTTGTCCTCGGGAAGCTGACATCCCAGTGTGGGCAGCGATCAGCAGATGTGTTCTGTATGTTACATGTGTTATGTAACACCAAGAGCTGATCTCTGCTGTGAAAAAAAAAAAACAAAGCACAGCTCAGGAAAAATAGTCCTGGGAGCTCTACTGCTTTAGGATGCCAAGGTCAGAGAAGGCTTTTGGAGGAGGTAACCTTTAAGCTGAAGCCTTGAACAAAATAAGGGAGATCCATGACAATACCTGAGGGGAGAGCAGGCGTAGGGAACAGCCAGTGCAAACACCCTGAGCTGGAAGCATGCCTGCATGCTCAGGGAACAGCTGGGAAGGCTGTCAGCCCAGCACGTAAGACACTGGCATCCCGCATCAGAGTGTCCACCCCCGAGTCCAGCGGCCTGCTAGCACACACCCTGGGAGGCAGCAGTGATAGGTCAGTAATTGAGTTCCTGCCACCCACGTGAGAGACCTGGATTGTATGCCCGGCTTCAGCCCTGCCCAGCCTCAGCCATTGTGGGCATTTGGGGAGTAAACCAGCATATGAGAGTTCTCTGTCTCACAAATAGAAAATAATTTTAAAAGAAGAGCAGTGAAGAGGCCAGTGTGGCTGGAGCAGAATGATCAGGAGGGAAGAGGGAAATGAAGTCCAGGCCAGACCATGGGCCAGGTCACCAGGTCTCGTGGGCTTTGACAAGGCCTCCTGCTCTTCTGAGCTGGAGCCAGGGGAGCGTTGGGAGCAGGTGAGGGAAGTGAGCCAACACAGGGCTTCCCACCCTCCTTCTGCCCCTGCAGGAAACAAACTGGGTTTGAGGGGAGACAGGGAGGAAGCTGCTGCAAAGGCCCAGCTGGAGACAAGGGGGCAGGACCGGGTGGAGCGGTGGAAGGAGTGGCAGCAGCTTCGGGGTGTTTAGAAGATGTAAGCAGCAGGCTTCGCTGTTTGGGCTGGATGCCAGCGTGAGAGCAAACGCAGGTCCACAGTGAGGCCACAACTCTTGGGAGGGGCACTGCGAGGGCTGGGGAGCTGCTCTGGAGCTGGAGAAGAGCAGATGGGGAGGAACGGTCCAGCTCAGTTGTCTACATGATGTTTGTCCCTGGAGCAACCCCCCGAGGCAGGGTTTTATCAGCCCACCCCACCTCCATTTTACAGATGTGGAAACTGAAGCAAAGAGCCCAGCCTTAACACAGCCAGGATGTGGGCAGCCAAGATTGGAAGCCTCTGGTCCCAGGGAGGGAAGACACCCCCCCACCCCCCACCCCCAGGGAGGACCTGCCCCAGGCCTGGGGTGCTGAGGCCACCCACTTCCCTTGCCTTCCAGGGAGAACCTCAGTACTCGAGTCATTCCAGCAGCAATACGCTCTCCAGCAACGCGTCCAGCAGCCACAGTGACGACCGCTGGTTCGACCCGCTGGACCCCCTGGAACCAGAGCAAGACCCCCTCTCCAAGGGCGGCTCCAGTGACAGCGGCATTGACACCACCCTCTACACCTCCAGCCCCAGCTGCATGTCCCTGGCCAAGGCACCTCGGGCCACCAAGCCACACAAGCCCCCGGGAAGTATGGGCCTTTGTGGCGGGGGACGCGAGGCCGCCGGAAGGTCCCAGCACACGGACAGACGGCGGGAGGTGTCACCTGCCCCTGCGGTTGCTGGCCAGGGCAAGGGCTACCGACCGAAGCTGTACTCCTCAGGCTCCAGCGCCCCCACCGGCCTGGCAGGGGGCAGCCGGGACCCACCAAGGCAGCCCAGGTAAGGAACTACGACTAGTCCGGCTCCTTCGGGGGTGCAGGCCACCATCCACGCCCAAGCGTGCCCGCGGACGTGCATGTTCCCGCACTGTTTGCTGTCCAGCCTTCAGCCTTCAGGGACCCCAGGCAGAAGGAAGAGACCCCTGGCTGTCTCTGTTCATCTCTCTCTGGTTCTCTTTGACTGTTGTTGCTCTTGTCTTCTCTTTTTGCTAATACTAATGGGTTTTAGCTTTCTGGAAGTCACAGATTATATCTGTGAGGAGTGCTTTTAGCTGGAGATAGGAAGCCTGACCCACAGTGGCTTAAACAAACACTTGTAAAGTGACATGAAATCTGAGAGGGCAGAGCTGGGGTGAGGCAGCGGCTCCGGGAGGGCCTCAAGGATTGGCTCCATGTCTTCCTGCTCCACCGTCCTCACTGGGCTGTGTCTCATCAGTCTCCAGGTGGCTGTGCACCCACAGGTGAGGGGAACAGGGAACAGAAAGATAGTCTTGGCATCTGTGCACGGTCTTCCTTCCGTTGGTTCACCCCTCAATGGCCGCTGCAAGCCGGTATACCGCGCTGATCCAAAGCCAGGAGCCAGGTGCTTCTCCTGGTCTCCTGTGTGGGTGCAGGGCCCAAGCACTTGGGCCATCCTCCACTGCACTCCCTGGCCACAGCAGAGAGCTGGCCTGACCTGGAAGAGGGGCAACCGGGACAGAATCCGGCGCCCCGACCAGGACTAGAACCTGGTGTGCCAGCGCCGCTAGGTGGAGGATTAGCCTAGTGAGCCACGGTGCCGGCCTAAGATTGGTTTATTTTATTTGAAAGGCAGAGTTACAGAGAGGCAGAGAGAGAACTTCCATTTGCTGGGTCACTCCCTAAGTGGCTACAACAGCTGGAGCTGGACCAGGCCAAAGCCAGGAGTCCACAGTTCCATGCAGGTTTTCAAGTACTTGGGCCATCTTTCTCTGCCTTCCCTGGAGCTGGATCAGAAGCAGAACGGCTGGGATTGGAACTGACGCTCATATGGGATGCCTGCCTCACAGGCAGCAGCTTAGCCCACTGGGCCACAACACTGGCCCCTGTGCAGCTCCCACTTCTATGGAGAACATTTTCCCAGAACCCCCAGCAGGTGCTATCTTGTGACCATCCCAGCTGCAAGGAAGTCTAGATCATGGTTTGGCCTTCCTGCCTCAATGGTATGGGGCAGGGTCTCCAAACAGCCCCTTGGAGAGCTTGTACAACACATTGCTGGGCCCTACCCAGAGCTTCTGATTCAGTTGGTCAGGGTAGGGCTTGAGAAAATGCATTTTTTAAACTTCGCAGTGGGTATTAATGCTGCCAGTGTAGGAGTACACTTTGAAAACTGCTGCTAGAGAGGCAGACAGCGGAATAAATGAAAAAGAACAGGCACTGGCTGACTGGCAGCCTGGGGTCTGGTCTACCTTCTCTCTGAGAATCGCACAAAGCGGTGAACAGCACCTGCAGAGGTGGAAAAGTTCTACCTTGTCCCAGGACCCAAGGGCAGAGGTCTGTGGCCCCAGGCGAGGATTACTGGGCTGCAGTCCCTAATGCCGACCCTGACCCTTAGGGTCAGCCCCACTTCCCTTCCCTGCCTGTGCCTGCACAGGGGCCAGCCTGGATCCAGGACTCCTGTTGGGCTGAAGGCTACCTCAGCACTGTGGCTTTCCTGAGGGCTTTGCCAGTCCTCAAATCCATAGCCTCTCTCTACTTGAGATGAGCCTCAGCCACAGCCTCACCGTCTTTGGCCACGGCTCAGTGGAAGGATCTTGTCTGTATCCACAAGCACAGAAATAGCTATGAAGCAGTGGTTTCCAAAGCAAGCCTCAGCCTTACTGTGTGCCATGCACTGTGCAGGGCTAGGCTGTCTGACGGGGTTTAATGCTGGTCAGTCCCCACTTAAAGGATTTCATGACCTAGCAGCAGTTTGGTTAGCCACCGGGCTCCTTGAGCCCTGGAAGTATTGAAGGTGGAGAGTAAGAGAGACATGGAGTGAGGTCTCTGTCTCAGCCCCCTCCCTCCGCAGGAAATGCTCAAGCCTTTGAACAGCCCCTTCGTTCGGTCACTCCAGATCTTTCTTGGTGATCCATCCTGTCCTGTCCTGGTCGCTGTGCTGGGAGCCCTCAGCACAGCCCCCTGCGAGGGAGTCACATGTAAAGTTGCCCCTCCCACTGAGGCGCAGTGGGGCCCAGAGAGGCTACATTGGAGGGGAGGGGAGGGGCCGGGCCTTGCAGACCTTGCTGGTGGTAGTCCCTATGGTGGGCACGGGCCCATGGTAGTGAACCTGAGTGACGGGGGTTTTGAATTCCCCAATTTCAAGGCAGCAAGGCCAGGCGTAGACTAGGACTGAGGCAGGGGGTGGGTGCGAAATTACCCAGTGTCAGAGGGAAGGATTTGCTGAGCCCAGAGCCTAGGGAATGAAATAGGAGGGAAGCCCGCTACAAAAGAGGGCTCTGCGGTTGGGAGCTTTAATTTGCATATAGACAATTGATGCTAATTGCAAATCATTCTTATCTGCTCATTAGAGCTGGTTCCTGAAGTTTTCTCCTAGGCAACCAGGCTTTACTGTGGAACAGCATTTCCCAAAATGGGGTGCTTGAGGGGATTTGGATGGTTGGGGGAGGAGGATGTGTTCTCTTAAATGGATATATGTTTGCTTTAATGAAGGTTAGGGAGAAGCGTTTCCAACCCAGCCCTAGTGCAGAGATACTGCCTCCGGGCCAGTGAAGGACATAAATGAAACCGTATTCACAGGGGCTGAGAGTGTAGGCTCCATACTGCCCGCCCTCTGCCAGGCCTGGCGAGTACTGGACCTCTCTGGACCACAGTGTCGTCATCTGTGGAACTGGAGTTGAAGCATAAACCTCTCATAAAGACGTGGGCATCACAGGAGCCCTTAGAGCGGCGCTTAGGAATGAGCCTCAAGTCTGCCCATCATTTAGTTCATGGTCCCAAAGCCCTCCCTCCAACTAAGACAGCCTCCCCTGGACCCAGCTCTGGGGACACAGCAGTGACTGAGGCAGCCCCAAACCTGCTCTTTGCGGAGCTCCGTCACCGGGCTGCGGCAGCCCAGAGTCATCAGGAAGGCACCAGCAGAGGCATCTGGAGGAGGCACCAGGACTGGGGAAGCCAGAGGAGGGGCCTGACCCAGCGTGGGAGGGGCTTCCTGGAGGGGAGTCTGAGCTGGCCAGAGAAATATGGAAGGAAGCGTGTTCCAGACAGGGACTGTAGCAGCTTCCACCTTCAGTCCTACCCCACCTCACTCCACAAGGCTTTCCACAATTTCCCATTTCAGTAGAAACAAATTCGCAGACAGTCCTTGAGCTGTCTGCGTGGGGCCAGACCTGGGCTACATGGACAGCCTTCCCATTGTGGCCAGCCTGCAGCTGCCCTCAGACCGTGCAGCCCAGCAGCCTTCTGTCCTCTGCCGTCCGCTTAGGCCAAGCTAAAATGACAGCCTGCTGCCCAACTCAGCCCCAAACAGGCCCGGCACAGCACTCACTCAGTAACTGTCCCTGTCTCTAGCTCCACGCACTTCGTAGCGTGCAACTTTGCTTTTATCCGTGCAGCAAGCATCTGTTGTGGGCCAGACCCTCTGCTAGCACTAGAGTCAAGTGGACAGGACCCTGGCTGTGGGTGACCAAAGTCATGAATGTTGCGCTAAGGGACAGCCTGCAGGAGAGACCCAGTGAGATCTGAGTGGGTTTGGTACAGGGCCAGAGAGGGTGTCTAATCGAGCCTGGACAGTAGGGGTGATGTCCTTGAGAGGGGTCACTTCTGCCAAGGAGGAGAGGGGGACGGATGGGGAGCAGGGAGTGGGGAAGGGGAAAGAGGTTTTGTTACCGGAGAATGGCAGGGTTCTTGTCTTCACGCAAGAAAGAATTCAGGCGTGAGACAGAGAGTAGTGGAAAGTAAAAGTAGCAAAGTTTATTAGGGAAGGGACATCCATAAGAACGGATGGGCACCTCTCCAGAGAGAACCAGAGAGAGCGCCCAGTCGCTTGGACTGGGGGAGAGCGGGGTTACATGGTTGAGTGGAGAGAGTACACCTGGCCAGGCCAGGTGGGCGGCTCAGCAGAGAGGCAGAGGGCTGAGCGCGCAGTCCGGTTGAGGCCAGGGGTTTTTAAGGAGATGGGTCTCTGTCTTCACACATATCCTCCTGAAACAAAGATTTTATGGATGTAAATATTAAGAAGCTCCTATCTGAGTTTTCCCCTAAAGATATCAGACAGGAGGAAGCCTAGCTGGCGCCATCCTAACCCAGGATCCGGAGCAGGTCCTGAGCAGGGTGTTTGAAATGCGATACTGGGCTGCATCTGGGAGATTGTGGAAGATTGTCAGGCAGAAGGGGTGGGGACCCCCACCTGGCAGGTTATCGGGTAGGAGGGGGCAGGGCAGGATGTGAACACTGGGCTGCCCCCGAAACGTTATTCGGGATGACTTTGAGATGCAGATGCAGATGCTGGACAGAGATGTCTTTAGGCCTTTGTCACACACACATAAGCTCATATCTGACTTCCTACCTAACAGTTTCAGGGGGCCTGATGAGATATTCTAGATCTGGGGTGGTATTATATGGGTGTTTGCATTGTAACTGTCCATCAAATTGTGTTTTTGTGTGTGTTGTACACGTGGCTGTCGGTAGGCTATTTTACAATTTTAGAAACAAGGGGAGGGCCGGCACCGTGGCTCACTTCGCTAATCCTCCGCCTGCGGCGCCGGCACCCCAGGTTCTAGCCCTGGTTCTGTCCCGGTTGCTCCTCTTCCAGTCCAGCTCTCTGCTGTGGCCCGGGAGGGCAGTGGAGGATGGCCCAAGTGCTTGGGTCCTGCACCCTTATGGGAGACCAGAAGGAAGCACCCGTCTCCTGGCTTCAGATCAGCGCAGCACTGGCCGTGGCGGCCATTAGGGGAGTGAACCAATGGAAGGAAGACCTTTCTCTCTGTCTCTCTCACTGTCTATAACTCTCTCTCTCTGTGTCTCTCTCTCACTGTCTAACTC